AAGCTGACAGTACGAAGTTTTTTTGTTGTTTATACTCTGGCGAGCCGCTCTTGTTTGTGTATGTGTGCGGGACAAGTTTCAGGGAAGCGAAAGAAGCGTGTGGCAACAAAGCAAAACCGTTCAAAGCATGCAAGCGAATCAAAAACAGGGAACCTCTCAAGAAACTGACGTTTGCGCTTTCTCGCAGGTTTGTGCAGTCCTCTACACTTTCCAGAGGTCTCCGACAGCTTTTTCCCAGCCATTTCGGCCTGTTCGGAAACAAAACAAAAAGCGTAAAGTTTGAAAAGCTCTGCAAGGAAGTGTGCAACAACGAGTTTAAACAGCGAATCGGCAAAAGGGCGTGTGACAGAGCATGCCAAAAAGAGAAATGCTTCTGTTCTATCCTATTTCTCCAGTTTGTTCCTCAAACCTCTCTTTCTCTCATCGTTCTCACTCAGTCGCACTTTCTATCTGCTTCACTCTCATCAATTGCACTCATTGTGTCGCACACTTAAGATTTTAAGTCGTTCCAGCACTCACAGGAACACGAGACGTCACGGAGCTAGTCAGACGTAGGAGGTGCAGACAGCAAAAGCAGAAAAAGCAGGCTAGCACGCCCTTGCTCCAGCTTTGCAGCGTGCCATTTCCCATTCGGGTCTCAAGCCTGGGCAGTTTTAGCCCTTGGCTGGACTCCGCTCACCAGATGAGATGACATTTGTATGGCGGTGTAGCAAGGGCTTACCTTGATCTCCGATGATTTTCAGGGAAAGCGCTGGCAGAAGGAGAAGCATCACTCCATGGCTGCCCTTACAGGCGGCTTGCAAGCCCTGCGCCGGAGCTCGCGGCAGATGAACTATCAGCTTTGGCATGGTCACTGGCAACGAGACGGCAGAAAGGCCTGCGCCTGTCAGACGGAATTGCGGAGAATGCCCTGCAGGGAATCCAAGAGGGGCAGCTTGCACCTAAGCACCTTGCAATCACTGCCCAAGCGCATGGCCGCCTGGATGCGAACCACAGAGCTTTGGTTGACACCTCAGAGTTCTAGCTGAGATCCAGCTTGTTCTCGCCTCTAGTTGCTGCAGCTGAGGTTTGTGCAGCTATAGACGCTGTTGCTCTGAAGGAACAGAATTTCAGTGTGAGAACGGGGCTCAGGTGCTTTGTTGTTACGCAGGGCACATGTTTTCAGATGTGCGATCCAGATTTCCATCCAAGGAGATCTTGCAAACATCCTGCGAGCATGTGCGCGGCTGGAAGCTGAAGGGTAGGACAGGCAATCAGATGCCCAACACGCTGCAGTTCTGGTGGTGCTGAGGCTGTTGTTCAAAGAGGAAAGGTTGCAGGAGAGGGCAGCAAACTCGCAATGTGCTTGAGTTCTCGTGTACCCTGCAGCGAGGAAACAACTATCCACGGAATGGTTCTCCATGATTGCCACGAACAGGTCAGCCGCGGCATATTTTGAGTGACGACTCGCGGGTCTCAACCAATTCAGCACGCCTCCGCTCACAGCTTGATACCAGTCTGTACAGCCGTTGCACATGCATTTATTGCTCTACAGCTGCTGCCTAATAGACCTTTTAAGAAGAGATCGCTAGAGATCACGCATGCTCAGCTTCCTCAGCCAAGCATTCAGATGCTATAATATATAAGCTCAGCACAAGGCTTGGTGAAGTCACGGCCACTAGTGCTCTATGAATTCCTTCAGGCCGGCGCCTGTTGTAAACACCTTTGGAGAGACAGGGCCTCTTGACGCGGCAAAGTCTCATGCGATGTGAATGAGCCAGCGGACGAAGCCCACAAAGCGCACGAAGTCCAGGCGCAGGTTCATGGGATGAAAGCAAACGTGTCTGTGGAAGTTCTTTGCTAGCTTTGATTTCTTGGTGCTGTTTGGAGGACGAGCAAAGCTCAGGCTGACAGCCAAAAAGCAGGCGGGACAGCGAAAAAGCTCCATCTTAGAGCTAGGCAAGCAGGCATTGCAGGCATTGAGTACAGATGGAGAAGCTCAGGCGTGGATGCCACGAGCATCTTTGTGCGCGGGCTGCCCCATGGAACGACGGACTGCCAAGCAAATCCTACTCCATATCAAAGGAAGTGCTGTTATTGTCATTCCAGCGAAGAGGACAAAGATCTCCGCGTGTTTCTGGAGGCTGGTGGCAGCGCGTGCTGCATTACACGCATGATCCTGCATGCCGACACTGGGACTGGTTGCTTCTTCTTTTTCTTCGCCCATGCTGTCTTTATGCTGTCTGTGTGTTTTTTCCTTCCTTGTGCTGCACCTCTACTTGTTGCATGTTCCCGGTTTCGATGTGGTGCTCACTTTTTACATAGTTTCTCACCATTGATAGTCTCGTGCAGCGCATGTCCTGCAGCTGTCACCAGTGCAGCTCTCATCGTGGTGTCTGCATTTATGGCCATCGCCATGTCCTCCTGCTCCCGCTGCTGCTGCTGCTGCTGCTGCTGCTGCTGCAGCTGCTGCAGGAGCCACCGTCACCGCTAGCGGTCGTCATCCTTTGATTTGCTACTTGTAGGCCTATTCTTATGCAGAGCATTCGCATCGCTGTAGTTGTTTTCGTCTTCTGCTCACCTGCTATCTTTACCAGTAATCAGGTGGTGTTTTCAAGCCACGCTCACGCAGTCACAGCTGGCAGTGCTTAGCAAGTGCGTGCCGGCGTCCTTCTCCCTAGCATCCTTACCAGGTAATCGATTCACTTTGTGACCATAGGATTCCTGTGTTGGGCGTGTGCTGCGCACCGTTTGCAGGAGGTGCGACCGTTTCAAATACCCTCGACTCGGCCCCTGAGCCTTCATTTGAAGCCCAGCCAAGCCCAGAGAAGCTGCAGCCACACCAAGCCAAGCCTCAAACGCCGAGCAGATAGCATCGTGGCTTCTTTTCGGGTACACGCTCTCTAGTATGAGGGCATCAGCATCATCTTGCTCTGGAGACATTTGGAGACGATGTAGAAAAAACTTTTCGGGTTTGCCCTGAGCCACAACAAGCTTTAAAAAGTCCAGCTGCAAAAGACAAAGGCTTCAAAACCTTTGCAAGGCATACTCTGCTATTGCTCGCTGTTTCACACCACAATGTTGTATGGGAGCAAAGCGGTCGTGTACCATTGACATGACTTTGTCAACGACTGCTAGGCAAGAGCAGGAGCAATCGTCACCTGTTTCGTCATTCGAGACGCCGGGTCCTTTGCAACTGGCGACTGAATTTGTTCTGTGTGGCTGTCAACATCAGCTGCATGCAGTGGATTAGTGTCACGGAGGCGACTTGTGTATACTGGTGTGACCAGAGGCCGTTCTTGTTAGCCTGTGTGTTTACATGTGAAAAGCCAACGAGTCCTTGACGTGTGGCTGTGCCCGGTGTCTAGTTCACGCCTCCCGGTGTTTCCTGAAATCTCGGGCAGTTCCTGGCCGGCTTGATCTCTCCACTCTGCCATTTTGTCTGCGGTCTCTGAGGACTATGGCATTGCAAAATTTCACAAAGAGGAGGAGACGTTCAGAACCTGAGAGAGTGTGAAACGTCATTCCGACAAGAGCTCAGACTGAGAATCCCTGCAGCAGGACGCTCGCAGATGTCTGCAGGAGCGACCTTGCAGCCTCTTCCCTGGAATTTTCCCAAGCTTTTTAATGTGCCGCAGGAGTTGAACGGTACCGAGTTCAACGGCAGCATACTGCGAATACAAGCTGGGAAGCCAAAGAGGCACTCGCGTCAGGGTGTACGGGTATGTATCTTGGCTCTTTCGCTGAAAGCCGGCTTCTGTAACAAGCGCCAGGGGAGTGGCTGCCAAAAGCAAGCCGGCTGAGATTGGGGACACTGCTGACCAGGACTCACGCTGCATGCCTGTAGAGAACGCACTTGAAACATCCTCAACGGTCTTCAGGAGTCAAAGGATTCTGTTCACCTGCGCAGCATTCAGCTGAGCGGCCTGCCGCGAGGGGCCCTACATTCATAGTAGTTTCTGCCTGCACCTTCCCATGTATTGGAATGCCGCACGAAGCGCTGCAGCTAAGGCCTGGAACTACAAAACAAGACCTCCAGCAGTGGATTGAGGCACTGGATCGGTCAGCTACAGTTCAGCTTGGCTCGCATTCGTGATATTTGCTGATGGTTGCTTGTAAGGAGAAGCTTCCCGGCGGGTGTGGCATCGAGGCCAAGCACTGGTCGCTTTGACAGCAAAACGTCGCAGAAGGTTGCATGCCAGGTTGTCCGTCGGCTCCTGGGCAAGGCCGGCCATTTTGCCATCTCCTTTCGGAAGGACAGCTTCTGACAATTGGAATGTCATGGTTGCTGAGACACAATGACCAGAGTTGCGCGGCTGCTAGGATCAAAATGCCAGACGAGCGCTCTGAACTTGGTTGATGTTGCTTCGGTGCGGTGCCAGTCGCCTTAAACCGTGGCCGGCTCCCAGGCTAGAGATCCTCAGCGGTGCTGACATGAACGGTGCCCGCTAAATCCCACTACTTCGATCCAGAGCTGCCTTGTGCCCTTTCAGGACACACCGTCACTGCTTCCCTGCGCGCTTTAGAGCTGAGCCGCCAGAGCAGCAAGGCACTTGGCTCTGGACTTAACAGAAGAGCAGCAGGGCACTTTTGTCCTTTTGTTGGATGCGTAGGCTGGGCGGCTGATTATTCGCAATCTATCCTTCGATGCGAAAGAGCTGCTTGGCCAAAGCAGTGCAATTGCGTTTGCATCGCCAGCAAGACTGGATGCATGCACAATGAGGAAGCACCTTCGAAAGGCCAAGATTGTCATGCAGTTGGTCGGTTCGCAAGACTTTGTGGTGGACAGGTTTTCGAGAGCATCGGTCAGCTGGCAGATGTTCATCTCCCGCACAAGGAGTGAGAAGCACTATATGCTGGATAGACTCAGATTGGGGAACGCGTGCGAATGGCTCAACTTGTTGGACCAGAGTTGCACCTCCACCTGCGAGATCATTTTCCGAATGCCGTGAGGTTCAAGATCTCCTCTAACAACTTAGGATGACGCGGATAGTAGACGCCTAGGCTGCGCATGCTGCAACATGCCTGTACAGATCTGCAGAGGTGGAGGCCGGAGGCTGCAACCAGTACCACAAGCTCGGTTCTCCACAGGAAGTTTGGTGAAACAGAGGATTGGCAGATCCGCAAAGCATGCAATTGCCCCTTGAAAGCTGTCATGCAGGGTCGTGCTCATTTTTCATATGCGTTGGATGCGCGTGGCGCCTGTCTCACAAGCTGCCCTTCATCAACAACGAGTAGTCTTAATCATGGTGCTAGTCCTTTCTCTTGTTATTCTGGCTCTTGTGGAGAATTGAATGTAGCTGCTACAAGGTCTCAAGACGAGCGAGTATGACATGTTTTCTGAGACTGCTTCTGAGGGATGTTGGCAGGTGATTACCTCGCCGAGACGTACCTCACCGGATCTGCGAAAGAAGCCGGCAGCCTCTTTGTAGAAGCAGAGGACCTCCTTGGCCAGGAGCAGTATGCCTGGAGCCAAGCGCGTAACTCTTTAGGAGTTCTCCAGGCTTGCTGGCTTGCTGGCACCAAACCGAGGCTGAGGCTGTGGAGAAGGGCAGAGCTGCCCTGAACGCTTTCAGGACTGCGGGCAGCCCCGGTGCCGCCGACTCGGCAAGACTGGTGCAGCCCTTGGGTGTACTAGAAGTGGGTCATGCTGCAGAAAGCACCTGCAAGTTTCAGGTCGTGAAAGCCCTGGTGGGCACAGGCGACTATGACAGCGCACAAGGGCTTGCTAAAGCCGAGCTAGCCCGCTACAGGGAGGCAAGGAACGCTATGTGAATTCAACGCTATGTGAATTCCGGGCTGGTTCTTCGACTCTTCCTGAAGTCGGTGTTCTGTTGCAGGCCGGCGACAAGATTGGCGAAGCCAAGATGTTGACATCCATCGGTGAGTCCACTTCCGCCAAGGAAGGAAAGGCCAAGGCACGGCCCACAGAGCATCAAAGTTCTGTTAGGAGAGCTCATGGGCCAAGGTTGCGTGTGTGACAGTACGGCACAGGCAGAGGCCGTCGGCTCCGTGAAGGAAGCGCGGTCCATCTTCCGAAACCAGGGGTCTAAGGAGTGGGAGGCCGCTTTGCAGTGTCATCCGCTTGGATATTCTTCAATCGCATGCTGCCACGGTGTACTCTGTGGCGCAAGGCAAAGGCGCTGCTCACCCTGGCTAACATCAACATGGGGAAGGACTCGGATCTGGGAGCCGTGGAAACGGCGCTCAAAAATGCCACTGAAGCGCATCTTGGTAGACATGGAGCTTTCCAAGCTACAGTAGCATGTGGACTTGATAGCCGAGGCGGGACATATGTCAAGAATTTGACGACAAGCGCATGGAGGTGAGGGTGCTGTGCAAACACTTGCTCAATGTAACTCATGGAAAAGCAGTCTGACGCTGGCCGGATATGGCTGTCAGCTGTGAGGCGGAGTGTCTTTTCATGATGGCTGAGACGAGGGGCATTGTCTCGTCGCCGGACGACGCGCTCGATGCAGCAGATGAAGCCATGGACTTGTACCTGGAGCTACGGGAAACTTGAAGCAACCAGGGAGTGGTCAACCTTAGAATGCTTTCACTTTCACTGACTGTGTGCGAGTACAGCCGAGGACAAGCGAATGGAAGCTCGTGTGCTGATGTGACTGGGTAGCACGACATTCCTCGCTTGTTGTTTGGTGAACTCTGTTTTGCACGCTTGGGAGAGTATTTCTACAAAATGCCGTGAAAGGAGAATGTCGGAGTGGAACATAAAGCTGGGTGATCATGCCCGGGCTCTCTCCGATGCAGAGGATGCGCTGGAAATCTACCAAATGCTGCAGTCCTCGCAGGAGGTCAAGGCCCGCGGCATTCTCTTTAAAGGTCCACCTTCACCACCTTCACCTAGCAAGCTAAATCCGCTCTTTCCTGAAACGTTGATCCCTGCAAGGCGCTCCGAAGAGTCTTTGATGCTCACGTAGCCAGGAGTGACTTACGCAAAGCCCGTCTAGTGGCTGCCGAAGCCCTGCGGCGTTTCCGGGAGCAGAACAACAAGCCGGCGCAGGTAGATGCTGTCCGCATGCTCGTTGAGCTCTACGTGAAGGCAAACAGGGTGGAGGAAGCCTTAACAGCTGCAAAGCGAGGCATAACCGTTTGCAAGGAGCTGGGAGACGTTGCTGCGCAGGCTTCCTTGATGCTGGTAGTTGGACGTGCGCGGCTCCGAATGGGCCAGCTGGATAAGGGTATAGCTATCGCACAAGATGCTTTTGCGATGCTGAAGAGACTAACTGCCACTCCAAAGATTTCGGAGGACAAAGTAGAAGCCATGCACATTCTGGTTGAAGCCAATTACCACAGAGGCCACAAAGATGAAGCCCTGGATTTGTCCCTGGAGTTTAAGGAAACGTTCGAGCAACAGGAAGACATGGCTGCCTATGCGCATGCACTTCTTATTTGCGCGACTCTGGAGTTTAAAAAGGGCAACGTGGAGCAAGCCGCGACCTACAATTCCAAGGCTCAGAGCATCTTTAATGACGAGGGCATCATGGCCGGCGAGGCCGATTCCATGAAGATGCAAGCAGAAATTGCATGGAAGAAGAACGACTTCAAAAGTGCAATCCGATTTGCTGAGAAGGGCCGGGCGTTGTACAGAGAATTGGGAAAGCCCGAGGGCGAGATTGCGTGCATGTACATGATCTCAGAGAATGCAGTGCGACTCTCCGTCAAGGAAGGGGCCAAGATCTTTGGCGAGGAGCCGATCCCAAGGCAAGCGCGAGATGCTTTGGAGAAAGGCATCAAGCTTGCGGAAGCCGGCATCAAGCTGGCCAAGAACACCGCGCTGTCGACGGCCCCAGAATTGATGGGATCGCTGCTCTGCGCCAGGGCTCAGGGCTTGACGCTAAAGGCTCGATTTGAGGAGGCTTTGGCCTGCGCTGACGAGGCTGTCCTGATCTACAGAGATCTGCTTTGCTATCAGCTCGAGGCAAACGCGTTGATGCTCTCCTGCGACAACTTGAGAGCGTTGCAGCAGATTCGGGAAGCTGCCGAAGCTGCAGACGAAGCCTTAGCTCTTTATCGTCACGTCCAGGATGATGCGGGTGAGAATCTGGCGCTTGAAGTCATAGCCACCTTCCAGGAGTACATGCAGCAACAAGCACCGCAATTTGTCCCGCCTCCTCCAACGCAAGCTGGCGCAGCTGCTCCTGGTCAAGTGCCTGTTTGGCTACAGCAGCAAGGCGCTGCTGTACCACCCAAAAGGGGAGGGCGACGTGTAGTGGACTTAGGTTGTGGGTAGTCGAAGGCAGGTTAGATCCAGGACCGTCTAAGTCGAAAAATAGCTATGTGCAGGCCAAGATGGGCCGCCAGAAGCCGTGCTGCTGACATGTTTGGCAGAGTTCCTGTTGGATTACTCTTGGCTGCTGTAACCAGTGGTGGTTTGCATTAAGCTGTCTACAACAAGCGTCGAAGTGAGCTGTTGAGCTTTCTCTGCGTTGTGTCAGGCTGTTGCCAAACAAGCCCCAGCCAGAGGGCCTGCTGGACCTGCCCTGGATGTGAAGGCAGGTCTGAGCATGGATGTGATCACGAACAAGGCCAGGCTCTCAAACAGACCTTCTTGCTGGCCGTGTGCCCTACTTAACGGTTTTTATGCCTCATCTCGCTCTCTGGGCAGCACAGCTTCGGCAAGGTCAAGGAAATAGCCTTGAGAATCACTGGCGCGGATGACGGAGAGATTGAAGCTGACACGCCGCTCATGGAAGCCGGGCTTACCAGCAACTCCGTCCGGACCTCACGCAGGAGCCTCCTGAGAACGTCGGCATGAGTGACCCAAATGTAACCAAGGCCATTCTAATGCGCGATGCTGCTTGGACTAATCATCAGGGTTGAGCGGTGACCTTTCTTATCCAAAACCAGTTGGAGTGCATTCAGCTGCCAATGATCCCAAGTAGGTGCTTCGGCTGTGCAAAAATCATGCCACCAGTCGAGCATGGAATGCATGGACTGCCTAAGGAGATCTCCCAAGCTCTTCCTGGTGTACAGTTGCCCGTAACTCTGGTTTTTGACTACCCATCCGTGTCCGCTATGACAGAGCTCATCATGCAGAGCACCGGAGGTGCAGCCATTGGAAACTGAGGATCTCGAAGGATAGTTTAGGAGTCTTAGGAGTTTGGATAGCTCAAAATTACTCTTCCCAAGAGGAACGCTCGGAACGTGTCACAGCGTGGCCTGAAGCCTGACAAGCTTGGAGCTCGAGGCTCCTGGCCCAAGTGGTGACCACGTAGTAGTGACCACGTCGTATGGAAGCTTGCGAAACGGTATCTCCAGTCTGGAAGCGTCCACTTGCAAAACGGGTGCCCTGCCACAGGAGTTTTTCATTGCGCAAGGGTTGGCTCTTCGTAACCCCTGTTTGAAGGACGGCAAGCCGGGGCTCCACCGCGGTTTTGCTTTTGTGCAGTTTGTCGAGGCAGGGATTCCCAGCGCATGGCTCTCATGTTCGTTGCTGGATCTGCCCAGATCCAGGCATCAGCAGCTGAAAAAGCCGTCTCAGAACTCAACGGGACAAGGACAGGTTGCGAAGCAGTGGAGTTTTAGTGGAGGCTCTGGCCAAGCTTTTCACTGCAGGATTTGCGGCCGAGCGGTGGCTGTGGACTGGGCCGTAGATGCTTCTGTGCCTCTCCCTCGGACATCTTTTCAGTGCGATCCTTCTTGCTGCTGAGCGCGGTGTCCCAGGTTCAGCAAGCTGCAGAGTGGCGGCCTCAAGTTGCTTTTGGTTCCTAGCCGCACTTTTTCCTGTCAAGGTGAGGAGCAGAAGGAGTCGGAACCTCAGAGCAAGCTTGAATCAAGGTACGGAGTCTTCTCAACAAACTCAAGGCCCGCACCTGCAAAACCGAAGGAACTGAAGGTGAAGGCAGGCCACGTCAGAACTGCCGGTGACTTGAGGCATCTTTGTACAGCTGATGAGAGGAGCAAAAGAAGGAGCCGGTAAAGGATTCCGAGGAAGAAGAGGAAGACAATGAGGCACCTGAGCAGGATCCAGCCTCTAGCAGTCTCGCTCAGTGAGCAGCCCTTCAGGATCCCAGCAAGGAGCTGAAGCGAATGAAGGAGCTCATGGGTGATGAGATTGAGGCGGCCACTGCGCTCTTGTTACCGGGTTTTCCTTTCCTTTGTCTTGTGCAGGCGGATGACGAGCAAGAGGAAGAAGAGGAGGAGGAATCGCATGAGGAGGATGCTTCAGCAAAGCTGCAGGCGAAAGACAAAGCAGCCAAGCTCAAGGCCAAGACAATGTGGCAGCTATCATTCAAAGAAAGCGCTTTGGATAAAACGGCCCGTGGTCCGCCAGCTGGACCGAAAGATCTGTCTGGGGGAGGCTTCGAAGGCCAAAAAGCCTGGCTTCGACGTGGAGCAAGGGTGAAGCGGTCATGTTGACAGCGTGGTCTCAACTTCTTATGCATCGCTGATGTGGCGATGATGTCAGGCAATCCATCTTCGTGAGAAATGTTCCGTTTGATGCAGAAGAGAACGACTTGAAGGAGGCCCGAATTGCTTTGACCAGCAAAGCGTGCCAAAAGCTACGGTGCTACATGAAAGGTCTTCCGACGCTTTGGTAAGGTTAGCCCTTGGCTTAGCATCATAAGCAGTCTCTGTTTGGCACAAATGAGAAGCCCAGATGATGCAAGGCTCCGTCAAGCTTGTGGCTGACAAGACAGGCGCTGGTTATATCAAGCCAATGCTCGGCTATAGTTTGTTCTGTGATCGGGGCGGGTTTAGTGCCGCGCATACAAGTTTCCGTAAGCCATCATTGGTGTCTTGAAGTTTGCTCAGGCCAAAACAGCCACCGAGGATCTGCCTTTGTAAAGTTTGCAGAGGCACCTTTTGAAGAGCCTGAAGTGTCCGTCTCTAAATTTCATTGATTGTTTGAAAGGTCTTGTGATGCGGCAGCCAAGTGTCCAAGACAGTGAGGGGTGTAGCCATGAAACATTCGCGTACTATCCAAACATCCAGCATACAATACTTCCAGGTTAAACACAATGCTCAAGCCTTCAGAACGGCGGCTTACCGATAATCATGTTTTTTATGTCCTACCGGTAAGCATCAGCACGGAATCGCAAGACTCACAACAGCGCCCATTGCAACCATGGTGGCGTGGGAAAGTGCTGCTTGTTCGCATTAGGATTTTGTATGAAGAGCAAATCTGCTAAACTTATGATGTTTACCTGGTCGGTGATACGAAAGAGAAGCAGCCCTATGAGACCTCCATCGAGGTGGAAGATGATATCTTGGAGCCCCATGCTCGAAGAGCTCGCTCAGTATCAGATTTCTGTGTCAAGCCATTTGGAAGCACCCACTGCGGTATGATGCCATGCAATGTTGAGACTGGCTTTGTGGTTCGGCTAAGAAACAAGTTCATGAGCAAGGTACGAGTATCTCAGGGGGCAGCGCAAAGCGTCAGAAGATGACAAGGCAGCCTTTGTCATTCACACATCATGATGCAACCAGAGGCATGTGGAAAGTGGTTTTGCAGTTGTGTTTTGTCGCTTCCGTTCTTTGCAAATATTCTATCCTGCAAGGTGACGCCTCTTCCAAGTCCCCACGCGCGTAAGGACGACCTTGCGCTGGGATTGCAGGACGGACCAAGCACCGTAATGACTTTAGACAAAGGCCATAGGGCAAAAGCTAGGCATGTACTGCTGTGACTTTCCTGGAGACACGGGCCCACTCAGAATCCCCATGCTGTCTTGCACAGCGCCAGAAAATTTCTGACCCGCAGAACCTGCAACTAAACAGCTCAGAGCTCTGCAGCAGCTGCGGGACCCATCATTCCATGGGACGATGCCTCGAGTTTGCAACTCGTGTCTGAGTAGGCGAGCTAAGTGGGGACCACTTCGTGGAACCATGTGTTCACACAGGACCTCAGAAGGCGACTGTTTCAAATCAGATTGTATTGCACTACTTTTGACCCATATTGACTTCAAGCTGCCCTGTTGTCCCCACTGCCACTGCTGTTCTGTGGTACCCTGTGGGTGACAGGACTGCCACACTCCAAGCCCACCTGCGCATGGTGGTGGGGGTGAGATAGGTTTTGACAATGAGGACAGGAACGCTGTGAGTTGCAGTTGTCAACTCTTTTAGTCATGTCTTTACCTGGGATTCTGGCACGGAGTGCCCAAGTCCAAGTGCCCCGCACAGCCCTCTGTGCCAGGCTCCCTTCAGATCGATGAAGAGAATTTGGTTTCAGTAAATCAGACTTGGAAGTTAGTGCTGCGTTGTGCGACTTGAAGAGTTGTCATCAAAGTCAGTTTCATCTGCACGCTTGAGCATTTCAAGATTTTTGCTTTGCTGCTTTTGCTGCAGATGTTCTGTGGGTGGCAGTGAGCGCGCTTTCGTGAGGATTTCTTGGAGGCAGTCACCCCTCCGAATCTTCATCGAGTCAGCACCTACGAGCATGACCTCGCATCTACGCCCGAGATGCCCGAACAGGTCGGGAAATTGAAGGGTGTCAGAGGAAGATGCCTGAGCCATGCTCCTGTGTCCTCAGGCTTCGGAGCAGTGGCAGGGCAACGCCTTCTTCCCATGCCCCTTAGCTTCGACCTTGCCAATTCCTCACAGGCCGCATAAATCATGGAATCTGAGGCTATCCTGGACCTACCTGGATGCCAGCTCTTGGGACCAAAGCTTCCGAGCTGCGCAAGCTCCACGCGCAGCGTCTCATTCAAGATGCGCACTTCTTCAAGCCCAGGCCTCTGCTGGTGACATGCAGACGATGCACTGCGCTCCGAGCATGCAATACTTGCCACAGCAGGCGGGCAGCGCTCCTTGATGAAATTTTCCATGGTGTCTGAAATGAGTCTGATGCCAGCCCCTTTGTGAGGCTTCCCCTGCTTTGGTCTACTACTGCGTCGGATATTTGGCTCCGGAAAGTGTAGAGCAGCACATGCTGCCGGCTGACGTTGGTTTGGCCGAGAGCTACGACAGTGCCTGGTCGTGCAAGGGTTGAATGAAGCAAGCAAAGCAAGCACTTCTCATGTTTTGGATTGCTCAGAAAACCTCTTAGGTGGCTACGTGGGATCTTCTGCCAGCCAGTGGAGCTCTGCATCCTGGCACAATCAGCTGGGTCTTCACTTTGATGTGGTGCCTGCGCTGAGCACGCTGTGCAGGCCGGTGACACGAGGCAGAGTCAGGCTCAAAGCTCTCAGAAGCGGCCACCTCGAGAAAAGAAGGAGCCGCAGCCGCAGCCAAAGGTGCTGGAGGCCTGCACCCTCCTGCACCCCTCTACCCCAATCGAGCCCCCAAACTGCCAACCGCAAGGCCGGCGAAGTTCGGCGTGACTCGGAACCGCAAGGCGAGATTTCATGCGTATCCGTATTCTTCACAAGGTGTCACAAGCCAACTTGTCCGAGGCTCAACAGAAGCCGTGCCCGCCGTCAAGGATGAGGAGCGCACCACAATCATGCTGCGGTCGTGGCCCTAAGTAAGCTCAATCGAGAACACAGCTGAACACAGAATTTGCTGCTGCAAATCTAAGGAACATCCCGAAGGACTTCAGATGCTGAACACAATTGGAAGAAACATGGCAGCCACATATTTGTTCAGGATACAACTCGGGAAGCTCTAGTGGAGCTACTGGACAGCCTAGGCGTGGGTACTCCGGTTGGCTCATTATTGTGTTTGCTCTTTATACAGCTGCAAATGGGAGGTTATGCAAAGATGTATGACTTTCTGTACCTCCCGCGAGACTTCAAGGCTGTGACTGGCGCATCGGATTGAAACTGCAGTGCAGTAACAGCAACAGGACTGACAGATCTCTGGGCAGGATAACTTTGCCATTTACGGCTATGCCTTTGTGAACTTCATCAGCCATGAGCAAGCTTCGCAGGCCGTGTTGTGCACAAGACCTGAACCTCTTGCTGGAGTGGAATTGCTCAGATGATGCTCCAAGGCTAGGGAGCTCTTTGATGGTTTCGTCAAGTGGCACAGTACTGACACTCGCCGATGAGTCTGGAATGGCCAGGGCAGTGCCAGTCTCTTTTTTTGCTTGAGCATGCTTGAGCGCAGTCTTGCCTAAGGAGAGCCAAATAGTCCCCTGCGAGGCTGGTGACAGCACCTTACTTTGATCATGTTGGATGTTGATCGAAAAATGACTCCTGCATGCAGGCGCACTGGGGTTATCCCCTCCAAGGATATGCGGCGCATGTCGAGCGTTACAGGACCAACTTCCTGTGCAAGGTCATCCTTGTTTTTAGGCTGTGAGGTACATGGAAGATGCTTCGAGACCTTGTCCTGTATTGCAGGAACAGCCCGGTCATGTCCAGTCAGGCCCGGTGGAGACTGATCCTGATCACCAAATTTAGAGAGAGGTATAGGCTACTTGTATCTCCATTTTTTTGGGAGGTGCCCGAGATGTGCAGACCCTTGGTCTTCAAGGATGGGCAGCCTGTGAGCTTTCCTGCTCCCACGACGCTCAGCTACTGCTTTTAGCATAAAGCTTTGAAGCTAGACTAAAAGGGTTGTGCGAGGCTTTCAGCTTCCAGGCCGAAGCCGTTTTGTTCTCTGAGGAAACCCATACGTCTTCCGCGTCGGAAGGGCCGCTTGCCTAAATCAACAACAATTCTCGGGTGCGCCTGTAAAGATTCAAAGCCTAAGGCTGGATTCTTGCGGGCCGGCGGCCAGAACTCCGCGAGCCGTCTTGTCAATAGGTGCCATGCAATTTGCAAGCACATCCCTCCGCTGTCAACGGTTCTACAGTATCTACAGTTTGTGAAAGGCCTTTGCCAATCCTCGGATTAACGCTGGGGCAGGTACAGGCGAGCCCGCTTGGCGCCGCTCTTCCACTATGCCACCACGCTTAGTGCGGTGTTCCAACTAATCCGATGTCACTGTATCGTCGCCAGCGAGGGATACAGTAAAAGTAAAATCCGATTTTCACTTGCACCCAATCGCTCCTTGAGCCTTGGCAATTTGGCGACACGCATGTAAGAGTTGGCAGATGTGCATTTGTTCAGTCTACGTGGGTATAAAAAGACACGACCCCGGAGACTGATGCTTGATTTCATGGACAAATGCTGCATAGTGGCCCTTTGGATGGTCACGCAAGTCAACGCCACAGACATCAGGACTTTGACACTCTGCAACTCTTTTTTTGCATTTGGTGCTACGAGAATTGCATATTCCAAGCATGCATCATCAATTAGAGTAATTCCGAAAGACCTTCGGACTTTGTTTCTGGCAGCATAGCACCACTGCATGCTAATTACGACTATTTCAAGACTCGCTGTTTCGAGGATGTGCGTGGCTAGGGCCAGTACTAGCCTCAAACCAGGCATTTCGTGCATTTATTTGTCTGAGCTGCGGACTTTCCGGCAAAAGCCTGCCCTGCGGCCCTGCGGGGGTGCCGCAGCCAGTCAAACCGATTTAATCGGAGTCTTATTTGCATGCGAGAAACCCCGACAAAAGGGATGATGGACACTGGGCCATTTTGGCCGCATGCATCATCCCTGGCGCAAGCACTTTCCATTTAAACGTAGTTCGACTGGTGTGCAAGGGCACAGCAGCTTGTTTTATCTCTGGACGCCTGATGAGCCCCCTCCCAATGCTACAATCAAAGGAAGCCTTTGTCCAACTGGTTTTGTTTGGATGGCGTTCGAGGACCGACGCTCGTAGCAGAGTGTATGTTTTCGTGTATAGCAAAGACCGCTGCATCTAGTGACAAGGCATTGTGTTCAGTTGTGTAAATTCTACTTCAGCTAAGTCAGAGACAAAATGAAAGGTGACAGCCTGCCTTGACACTCCAGCAGCCTTTGGCATCACTTATGTCTATGAAGCACCGTGCCAGGTCAGTCCGTAGACTGAGGCATACCTGTCAAAGACGTGACGTGTCAATATGACATGCACGCCCAGTGATTTCGGTAGCGGTTTTGAGGAGCCGGCTTCCGTTTGCAGTCTTGCGCAGATAACGAACCTGTGTTTTGCAAAAGAGAAAACATGTGGCAACTCCTGAAACTGCTAACGACAGCTCAAGTTGCTGCCCGCAAATGTTGCGTCAACTGACACAAGAAATCTCAACACATTCTGCAGGCGGCAGGGGCAGATGCTGCCCTGGCGGCCGAGGAAGAAGCAGAAAGAAAACTGAAGGCCCCACGGCTTATCGGGTTAAGAAGTGGATTGAAAATTGCGGGTCATGCCACAAAGCCTCCTCATTTTCACCGCTTTTTGCCATGCATGCTCGGTTGGCTGAAAGGAGCTCTCTTCCGTGGTCAGACGCAGTGATCAGCGTGAGCTTCCGGCAGCCCTGTCCCCAGCACCATCCTGGACAGAAACTCGACAGAGCTGTGCGTGACATGTGAGGTCGAGGGCTTCGGTGTGAGCTTGAAGGCTGGCTGCACTTGTTACTCCTAGAGGAGGGGAGGCTCAAAACCACGGAATGGAGGGGCGCCGATTGGTTCTGAAGCCGGCTGTCAAGCCGCAGGAGGTCCGGGCACTTCACTGCAGAGGTGATGCAATCAATTGAGCTCCGCTCTAAGGCGTCAGAGCTCTCCGACAAGTCGAAGACGAAGGGTCAGGCTTCTAAGGTGGGACATTCCGATGATCCGACCCATGCTTCCCTGCTTTCGGTGGACTTCTTCAGGAACGTCGAACGTGGATGCACCTGCTCAACGTGCCCTGGCGAGCAAAGCGCGGATATGATATGCAACTGCATCCCAACAATACTAGCAAAAGACAGGTCGGCGACATCCCTGAGTCCAGCTGTCATGTGTTGACTAGATGTGCGGTGATTGGCTACCTTGTGTGTAGTCACATTCGCTGTGCCAACTTGCAGAACATCGCCTCGATGGGAGAATCTCTCGAAGCCTCTCAACTGCCAACGGTGTTCTCATATCAGGAATTGCGTTTGCTTCAGGTGCAGCATGCTACAAACTAACGATTTCTTGAGGTCAGAACAGCGGCAGCGAAGGGAAGGGCAGAAAGAGCGCAAGTGGCCAATTCCCAAGTTCTGCCATATTCCCTGTTTGCACAAGCCTCCCAAGTAACAAAGGCGAATCAACAACTCGAATTTTGCCATACACCCGCAGCGCCTGAGCGCCAGGGGCCGAGAATGATTTAGAATCGCATTCTGAAAAGAGTTGGCCACTGCAGATCCGCAACTTACCCACTTTCGTGGATGCCAACAAGCTTCGGGAAGCGGTGGTCAAGAAGCTTGGCGGAAGCTAGTTGTAGCTTACCTGCCTCGAGACCATTGAACATCTTTTCAGTGTATTTCAGGGTTGTCCGAGGCATTTAGCACAGACGGTTCCTGAGCCGACCTCAGTGCACATTGTTGGCTGGATCTGGTTAGCAATTTGTTGGTTTCAATCAGTTTGAGTGAGGGCAAGAAGAAGGAAGCACTGACCGCGGCCCAGCAAGCAATCCTCAAGGCACAGCTTCGAGCTTAAGTTGATAAAGGCTGCTGCCGCTTCTCTTTTTTTCCAGAGGCCAGCCTGGTGCGGGATGATGAGCGCCGCACGGAAGCCGGGGAGCGACGGTCGAAGGGTTACGGCTTCATGGCCTTCAAGGCCAGCCACCTGGAGAGCAAAACCTCGGCTTCGGATCTTGCTGTCGAGTTGGTAGGACCATGACTCTGCGATGAAAGTCTTGGAGTTCCTCAATGACAACCCGCCGCTCGGCATGCTCGGCAAAGAATCTCTGGGCACCTGGCACATGAAATCCAAAGCAGTTCCAAAGCGAATCAAAGCTTTCAGGGCAGTGTTTGGCGGCAACCGCCGGCCAATCGTGGAGTTTGCTGTAGAAGACAAGCGAAAGCTGGGGACACAGCTGCACAGCTGCCTTGTGCTCACCCTGCTTTACATTCCCAACACGCTCTGAGGCTACGAATGCAGGATGAACTGCGGCAGACCCTTTACGTAGAAAAGAATGACAGCATGAGATGTGTTTCGATCGCCTGTATTCCTGCTTCCTGACACATCACCAAGATCAGACCTGAATGCTCAGGAGATTCGAGGAGAAGCTTGCAAAGAAAGGCCAGGTACCAGCTTGAAAATTATGTTGTGCGAGGAAGTCATGGGATGAGCCATGCTGAACAGAGAGTGGAGCAAGCAGAAAACCCCTTAGGCGTGAGTTTAGGCTTCTGCAACACACAGATTGCTTTACAAATCGAGGCGCAGCATGTCTCACAGCCTTTCCCAAAGTCCGACCCAAGGAAGCGTAAGCAAGCAGCAAACATGTCACGAAGCAAACTGATAAAACTTCGACACATTTTCAACGGCCGACTGAACAAAACGTCATCAGAAGTCTCATGTACCAAGTCTTGCACCTTATAACTCCACCTTTCCATGTGCAGGCACGATGTTTTGACTTGAGGGTCCGAGCCAAAACAGCAACCCTCCCCCTGGCTTTTAGATGCCGCGACGCACGGGAGCAAAAACAAGAACGGAAGATGAGATCAAAAGTTACATGCCGAGGGTGGAAGCAAGCCAGCCTAATATTCATCCAGAGAGACATTGAAGACTAAAGCCCATGGCTGGCATTCCCATTTGCCAGCGGCGGAGACTCTTCATGTTTACGTTTTGGCAGGCAGCTGCGTGTGGTCAAGCAACTAGTGTTACCCTCACGGAAAAGAGTCTTCACATCAGCGTGGGCTCATTCCCCAGACATATGCCCTACAGCAAACGCCAGTCGACTTCAAAGAACATTGACAGAACAATGAGCAAAGGAATCTTAACATGAGTCACATGAGCGCACTTCCCAAACCTGTTCCCTAAGATCAGAGTTCATCAAACATCAGAACATGAATGCTCGTCAGTCACTGCTGAACTATGCTTTCGCGGGTGACGGCCAGCTGAAGTGCTTTGGTGTCACAGGTGTCTCCTGCATTCTCCCGACAGGTTCGGCATCTGAACCCGCTGGCGATGCAAAAGAAGGCGCGGCGAGCGCCAAAGTAAAAGCAATCGCACGGAAGAGGACTGCCAAGCTGGGTCAGCCTAGCAACAAGGTCCCAGAAACAGGCCCTTTCGTGAGGAGGCGCATGCCTCCTGAAGGGGGTGATACGAAGACGAAGAAGGGCCGTGGGGCCCGTCAGCGAGAGAAGCGGCGAGCCCTGGCCTCAGGAGAGGTCAAGCAGGCAAAGGCTTCGCGCTTCTCGCAGTCGCGTGAGGCACTCAAGGCCGCTGCAGCAGAGCGCAGCGAGGATTGGGCTTGCGTATCTGTGGATTTTTGAAGTTCTGTCAGGCTCAGCATCCTAAGGCTTGAATGAAGAGGGCATGTTTCAACATCAGCACCTGAGCGCTGACTTCAGGCGAAAGCCAAGCGGAAGGAGGTTCAGCAGAAAATTAAGGCTTGGCCGCTGACCGGCAAGTGGGTATAGAGGGGCTCGACAACTTTCCGACATTCTGCCAGACGATTGCCGCGGAAGAGCGGAGAGCAGCAAGAACAAGGCCATGCAGCTGTACCGCTTGGAAGGTGAGATGCCAGATTTGAGAGGAAAGAGCGGCCCAGCAGTATACCCGATGCGAGAGAGTCAAAGCGTCCTCGCAAGCAGCATGGTGGCAAGGGCAGCACTCAAAGATGTGAGTTGGGCAAAGCTTGCGATGCTAAGGGGCGGCGAGCTACAAGATGACTTTGAACTTCGCGACCCTGCCTTGGTGGTGAATGGCAGAGAGTTCTTTTTTTCAAGCACTCAATTGGGCAAGAGTATTTTTGAGAGTGTTTCAGCTGAAGGCGCTGGAGCGGTTCCGCAAAGGTGTGAACCTTATCTCGTGATTTCGTGACAGGTCAACTGATCTATGACTCTGATGTTTTTCCAAATGAGTTCTGAGTTCTGTGGAGGTGGAAAGATGTAAGACTCTCGCGGAAGTTTCTCGTGGTCATTATCTCCGAAGATGTGCGCGGCTGCTTGATTTCTGAGTGGCCTAGGCACCTTGTGGTACAAATCTTGTGCTGCTGGTGCTCTTGCGTAGCGCCCTGCAAGCATGGCATCTGGCCTGCTTCGACAGGACTGTTAATGTACGCCTGGTTTAGGAAAGCAGACACTTTGCTGTGGGCGGCGATGTTCCTTCAAAGGCTTGAATTCTTTCGATTCTTTCGTGTTGGCCGTGTGGTCTAGTGTTTCCTGCACAGAGTTTGGTGGTGCTTCATGCCAGGACCCTTCCAACCTTGCTTGGGAGCGCGGGACATCGCGACCTAGGGACTTGAAGATTCCAGAGGCTTGTTCCATGTACCTTTGCATTTTACGGCCATGCTCGCTCAATTGTGGCTGCTCGATGAGGCAGTTTCTCAGCAAGCGCAGCAAGCAGATTTACAGCCACAGGCGTCTGCGAGCATAGCCTGGACCCATGTGAAGTAACTGATAGGCGGAGACTGTAGGAGTTCTCGCCTGACCAGGTATATTAATAAAGCTGAGGCCTGAGCCCTCGCGAAGCTCCAGCATGACACTCCTGGCTTTTTCGAGAGGGCGCGGCCAATACTTTTGCGCATAATTTGCAGAGTTGGTCACACGTCGGTCGCAAGCTTCCCCGCTGCTTAGTGCTTGGAAGTGCAAATAGGGCACACAACTGGACATGGTGGATGCGGGCAAATGCGTGATGTCCATCCACGCAAGACACAGCTGAATCACAAGTCCTCATGTCGAATCTTGCCCCTGCATCTGCCACAACTAGAGGCTGACGGTTTGCATGCATGCTGAAATCGGGCATGTCCTACAAGGATGTGTCACGATGATTGTTTCTCAGGGCTTCTAGATTATGATTTTCACTTGAACATTTTGTACGGTGCCTCTTTGCAGAAGTGCTGTCAGTTGAAGGGTGTTTACTTGAGTTTGTGTTGCAAGCCTCCTGCCGCCTTGAATATAGTCTCCTGAGAATGACCCACACTTCAAATTGTGCCTGAAATGCAGAAACTTTTTTTAGCGGTCGGCTTGTGCCATTCACTGTACCGATCGTGTGTAAAATTTCTGTTGCGGTGTAATCACGAAAGTTTCCCTGAAGCTTCCTTTTTTAAGCCCAGCCTTGCTGATCTGAGGTGGTGCGGGGGAGGGGGCACCCCACAATGTGGTAAGTTTGGCCGCTTTTCAGAGGTCAGGCTTCACCAGCAAAGGTTTTTGGGGGGTGTCTGTGGGCCCCCCTTACCTGATGCTTCTAATAGTGCATCCTCATCAAGTAACAACTGCCACATTCCTCAAAGGTTTGCAGACGGGAGGGCTGCGCCCCACCCAACTCCTGCTCTTTTCAAACATGAACCCGTATCATGTTCAATATTGAATCCTCATCCACGTTCCTCAATGGCTTGCAAAATTTGGCGGAGACAATGGCATCTTGAGAGTTTCGTTCTGAACCAAGCTGGTAAGTCCAGTAAATCCAGTAATAGACTATGCTTGAACAATACGGTAACTTCAACACAAGCCTCCTTGAAACATATGAACCGCGTCAGTTCACTCTCAGTGGCTGGAGATTCCGGGTTCTGCTTTGAGGGCCCTTGCTGGAAGCGGAGAGCTGTGCTTGGGAAGTTCCCTCGTCTGCCTTGCATACAGGTCATCAGTGGTAAGATCAGCTAGCTGCTCAATGCAGGTGGCGGAAGCAATACATGACTCCAACTTGCACTTCAACTCACAAGACTTGTCCAACGGACTCCAGGACAGTCGGTTCGTTTCTGGAAGGTCACATTTTCCAACAGCAATGGTGCAAGGCTCCCACTACAACAGCCTTCAAAGAGGAGTTCTGCATAGCAGCTCCTGCTTGAAGAGGTGGGATGCTCAGCCTTTTAGAAGTAAGCACAGCTGTCTTACCTCGACTCCGAGGCATTCAAATTGACAAGTCTGCTCCACAGGCACCGCAGAACTTAGCAGCGAACACGCGTGTCTACATTGCACATGCGCAACTGATGAGATAGGCACCAGCCAATGCAGCGTGGTCGGCAGCTGTGCCAGGACGTCTCCATCCCGTTTTGCGGACAGTTTCATTTTGCCGTGAAGAGCCGACGATGCTGAGATTGTGTATGTGCATGAGGACTTCGTGGTTATCTTCTGCTGAATGCTCTCGGCACCAAAGCAGTGCGACAGATCTTCGAACTTTCTCCGCAGGTTCCCTTGTAGAATTTCAGCATGCAACATGCTACTACTGTGTGAAGCAACACAGCAATTAGGCTCTCGCAAACACGGCCCGATGCCGGACCTCATCGTCAGCAAGGCTCCTCGTTTGAAGCCACGTCCATTGTCCTTGTCCCCGCTGGGGACTGGTCCGCATTTACAATGCAGGAACAGGAAGCTGTTTGTGCGCAACTCAGATCCAGCGGAACTTCCAGCCAAAGTAATTCATGTCATTCGTTTCCAGGATGCAGCTGCAGATGCGGCTGCGGTCTTTGCCCTGGCAATTGGCTTTCCCCAGCAGCCTGGACCAGGACTTTGAGCACTGTGCAAGAAAGGCGAAGTCAGAAGATTCTACGCCGCGGGACCATGCGCACACTCTGTAGGCTGGGGCTAGGGGTCAAACAGACTCCACAGTTTGCTGTCTGGGCTTGGCTGAAGATTTTCCAAGCAGGCTTCCGCAACTCTGAATGCAAGGCCCGCTGTTCAACCTCTTGTTGCATTTGAGTAGGGGCCATGCTGTTCTGCCAGGAAGGCGACCTTGGCTAGCTCTGCCGCAGCCGCTGCTATTGCCAGCCCGGAGCATCCCCTGCAGGCCTTGCGCACAAGTGTGCAAACCATGCTGCTGAACGCTGCTATCTGTTTGTACATGGCAAAATGTGCTATGGTATGTGTTTTCTTCGAAAGGAGACTGGCAGCCTGGTGTGGTGCCTTGGCGTTCTGAACTTTGCTGGTGAGCAGGTGCCTCTTGAAGAGTGCAAGCCTGCTTCATGGACGTGTTTTGTTTGTCTTGTTCCGCGCTTGTAACTTGCCAGGCTCAAACTAGGTTTGGGCTGTAGGTCTAGCACAGCAGGGGGCATTCAGATAAAGTATGAGCAAACACCCAGAAGTTCTAAAGAAAGGCGCGAGGTGTGACATGCGACATCAAACAGTGGGGCTCACTGGCAAGCCAGCAGTTGAAGCTGCACGGCAAGCCATGACCTTTTCCTGCGGTCTGGCTTGACCAGGCCTCCAAGGTGCTGTTTTGCAATAACTTCAATTCCTTCCGAGACGCAACAGGAGATGTCTGGGGTTGCAAAGGATGCGACGATGGATCCAGGCGTGCTTCTTGCTAAAAGCCCTTGGCCACACATTCTTGAATTTGAGCCCTTTAGTGGGACTAGGAAGCTCTGTTTCCTGGGCTAGCTACTGCAGGTGAGCATTGCTCATTCCTGCTCAAGAAATGCGTCAAGGCTTTGCTATGAATGTGGCACATGGGAGAGCACTCCAGCCTTGCAGTGTTTCAGGTCATAGAGACTTTCGACCCCAAGAAGACAACTGTCGATGCATACATGGAGGACATCAGAGCGAATGTTGTTGCGCATCTCAGCCGGGATACATTCTACCTGGTCGTAGCCATTCCGCAACACACTCGGCCAGGACGCGCCGTGCCTCAAAGATAAAAAGCTGGGCGACACCGAGCTGAAATTTATACACCAGGCCTCACTTCTTCTCAGGAGATGGAGGGAGGGGGGAGAGCTTGGCAGAAGGATGCGCAGATGATGGGCAGCTCTACATAAGCGGGCTTCTAAACTCGCGCTATGTCAAGCAAGCAAAGGTTGGACACGGAATACCAAAAGGCTGTAAAGCGATGGGGAAGCCTGAAAAGCGACAACCCGCAATCCCAAAGTCATTGCAGTGCACATTCGACTTAGCCGATATGCAAAGCGACACCTGCATTTTGAATTGCAACATCTATGCCGACGAAACCCTGCAAAGGGACGGGGAACCCTGCTAAAGCGGACGCTGAGGCGTCCGCTACCTTTGACACTGAGTTTAGGCGGATGCTCACATGTGAGTAGACTAAATCCCACACCGCATACTGAAGTTTCTGACGAGATGCTCAAAGCTGCTTGTAGGGATTTTCTCACAGGAGGTGCGAAGGAAAGCTTTTCAAGCAAAGCGACAGAGAAAGTCGAGACTCGCACACCAACTTTCATTCTCGCAGCACACCATCAGAGCTCGACACTGGTAAAACCCAGTCAGGGTGACAAAGCCCCACGTGAGATTAAGACAGACAACCTCCCATACAGGAGCTCGTTCTCCCTTGGAAAGAACATGGCATGCGTGGAGTAGAAGTTCTTTCAACATGAATTCTGAAGAAATGCTGACGGCTGATCTCCCAGTCACTGGTTCTGATATTGTAATCAGACTGTCCCCGTCCGTATACCGAGAACATGGCTTGAAGAGCAGGTCTTTTATGGATGCATGCGCTACCAGAAATTCCTGAAGCTCTTTGTCGCCGCCTCACAGAGCTGTGTCTTCGTCATGGGCAGTGAACTCATGTATCACGTCTTTGAGGTCACCAGCTTTATGTACAAGTGTCCCGCCACGGCACTGCGAGCCGAGCAGAGCCTTGCTGGCTTGTTTTGGGCTTCGATTTTCCTGCGCAGCCCTTGACATGTTGGGGCAGACATCTACCTGGTTCTCGCCTATCTGCTGTTCTTTCGACTCGAAGAGTCTTGGGCTCGTTGATCCCAGCAGCTTGCAACGCAGCTTTCCTTGTCGTTTGCCTTTGCAATACCTTGTTGACATGTTGTGGTCCCTCCCGAGGCTCACAGTACCGGAGTTTCGTCAGTTTCTGATCTGTGGCTATGGAGCACCACCTGCCATCAATGCTCTCATGCAGAGTCTTGCCTGGTTCTGGACATGTCATGACTTCAGGCTACACTGAAGTTTCCCGTATGCCTTCTGCGAAGCATCATCCAAGGTATGCCCTGAGCGTTGAGGCGTCGCGCATGGCAAAGCTTCTGTGGCTTCTGTACTTCAGAGCAGCCTGCACATGCTCAGGAGCTCGAAAAATGGGTCAAGGCATCCTTGGCTTCTCCATGAGGAGTGTTCGATTCACAAGTTGATGTTGCAGGTGGAGTGGTGTAAGTTCTACGATGTCGATTACGTGGAGCAGGATGGACGTGCCATTGGTTTGTCGCCACATCAATCTCTTGTCCATCCAGCTGGAATTAGGACATCATCGCAAAGTTGCAGAGCTTCAAGGAAGAGCTTCAAGCAACAGTTGATGAAGCGAAAGCCTGAGATCGGGGTTTGTACTTGAGTGAGCTGAAGTGAGTGACAACAGCCAGGTGGAGTTCCGTGCCACAGGCACCGTCAAGGCAATGTTTTGCAGAGCAGTGCGCAACGTGCAGAATTCAGAAGCTAATCGTGTGGCTGCCGCGTTCCAGGCAGCCGATGGCACGGGTCTACCTGGGAAGAGCGAGCGAAAGCTGACTGCGGCTTGCTTGCAAAAAGCTTGCAGCGAAGCATTGAGGCAGGTGGCCTTGCAGTGAATTGCGTTAAGGAGATCAAGCCCTTCAACTTGACGCAGCCCAGGCTGGGATAGTAGAGGGGGCAGACTAGCGGGCTCAGGCCCTATGACTCAAGACTGACATGCAACTCACAGGCTTGCGTAGTTAGCGCTGAGCTCGCAATGCAAAAGCAGTGCTTCAACCAAGGAGGCTTTGCTGAGGAGGTTGTTGCATGCTTTCTGGCTCCAGATGGAATACGTTCAGGAATCTTCTTGCAAAGGTGCCCCCGAGGCTTCTTTTCGCAGATCCTCGGCCGGAGCTCAGAAAAAATGGCAAGAAGTGGAAGCGATGCTTCCACGCGAATTGAAGCAACGCTTCAAGCCTCCGACGCCTGAGCGCCCAGTGTGCAAGCGGTTTTCCTTGGAGGGCGGATGCCCGTTTGGAACCGGCTGCACTCACCTCCATTCCGTTGACGGCCAGTCAGATGTGCGTGATGAACCCGCATTGTTTGGTGGATCTGCAGAAGCTCCACGAGTCTTCTTATACAAGATGGAGGACCGAAAGGTAGGGAAGGGATCCATCTCGATGCTGACACGAACTCTTGCAACTGGCGGCTTTGTCATAGCAGACCGTCCCCTGGCTGCACAATTAATGACAGATTGAGGCTGTAGATGCTTCTCCCTAGCCACGCGAGCGATCCTTCGACTGATTTGTATTACCTGTACCTGCTTCAGAAAACACGCAGCCTTGAGTGTTTCTGTCAGAGCTCTGCTAGGACATATGCTTGGACTAACGGGAGCTAGTAGAACAATTCAGAACACACATCATCCTATGATCTTGGACTTCACCGAAGAAACCAGGCCCAAGTTGTCTAAGGTCCAGAAGATGCGGATCTCCTTTTGGCAAACGCCTTCCCTTCCGCAAGTCTGCTTGCGAAGCTGCGGCTAGGATGTACTGTCAACCACTGGCCAGGAGAGTATGAGTTGTGCAGCAAGGACCGCATGGCCAAGCTTCTGCGAGGGTTGCCTTTCTGCCCCTTGACTTTCGTGCTGCCGGAAGAGTGGCCGGTCTTAGCTGCAGATTGCGATGATCACCCAGAGGCCATATGGATCTCCAAGCCATGCCAGCTCGGGGAAGGTCGGCATATCAAAGTTCTCCAAAGTAAGGATCTTCGGAAGGAAGGGGAGGCCATGGGAGCTTGCATTGTCTCCCGGTACATCAAAGACCCACTTCTTGTTGAGGGCCGAAAAGCTGATCTGAGAGTTTATGCCTTGGTGACACGCCTTCAACCACTAGAGTCCTTCGTGTTCAGGGACGGTCTCGTGCGGATATGTGGTGCATCCTATGACACGAGCAACTTTCATGACCTGGCTGCGCACGTGAGCAATAACTCTGTACAAACAAAATCCAGCAGACATGCAAGCGGCCGGAATCTATCTTTACAGGAACTCTGGCAGGGCTGGGATGAGTGCATCTCCCGACAGACCCTTTGGCGGCGCATTGTCAGAGTTGTCCGTGACTCTCTGTATGTTTGGCAGCCAACAGCCGTTGCTGCTGCGAGAGGAAGGCAGATGGAAGATGTCACTTGGCGGGATGTCAAGCAGGTATTTCGGAGCTTAGCGAGCTACTTGCTGATGAACATGTGCAGTTTGATCTTGCTGTACAGCTGTCCCAGGTTCGATGCAGAGGGCTCAGCTGCTGTCCGCCCTGATGATATGAAAGCCAGCGCCAACCACACAGTCACCTTCCTGCAATTTGCTGAGCAGCTGAGGCTACAGCTTGTTGGCCTTCGATCTCCTGGTGGATGCAACTGGGTGGGTCTGGATTCTTGAAGTCAACTCGAAGCCAGCGCTGCATGCGCAAAGTCCGTCTCTGAAGGCCTCTCAGCTCAAAGACGCACCTACATGCAATGAAATAGAAGTTTGTAGCTTCCAAGCATCAGGCTATCTTCCCGGTCCACTTCGCGCTGAAGGCAAACCTCTTGTGGCTTGCAAAGGAGTAGCAAGTATAGAGCTTCACGGGTGAATTTTCATCTTGCTTTACTTTGAGTCTCGCTTGACTGAGCTGTCCCAAGAAATGGACCCGGGGACAAAAAGCATTAGAAGAAGGAGTTCTGCCATTCGTCCAAATGTTTGTCAGCACTAGTACAATTTGAATTGGAATACTGAGGGCTGACCTTTTCTCCTTGCTTGGTCTGCCTTCCAAACATGGTGATGCTCCGCCGACCGCTGCAAGCGAAGAAGGTCGTGGGACACTGGGCTTTGAGAGACTAGACTTCACAGACGCTTCCTGCACCCTACAGCCTCTTGGCTGAACGGAAACGTGTTTGCTTGTGCTCGTACTGTAAGTGTGTTCTGGATAGACGGTTGCGTTGCGGTTCTGTACATTTGCCGCAGTTTCTCAACCCATCAAACGGCAAGCTCTGGTACCAAGACTGGCTGTGCACTGGGCCAGCATCGTTTGCTTTCTGCAAGATTCGACGCTGGCCGCTGCTTCGATCGCTTGCCCATGCTGGTGGCATGTTCTGAAAAGCTGCGTGCAAAGCAGGAAAAACAGAGATGCTTGAGCCGATCATGGGTCTGGGCGCTAATTATCATGTATCGACATTCTGCGGGTTCTATGCACAGAGCAGCTGCGCATGTATCCATGTGTGGACGTACTACCATAGCAGCCATGAAGCCACAAACTGGATATTCAGGATCAACAAGATGACTGCTTGAGGGTTGAGGTATGGCAGAGGAGGCTAGGCTGGCTTGCTTTCCTGTGCGCGCGCAGGCCGCGTTTGATCCCGGAGCCAGATGTGATCAGCCGCCAAGTCAAGGCCTTGCACCTAGCAACGCCTAAGTGATGAAGCCTGTTCTTATTTCTCGCTTCGTGGGGAGGCGCAGCCTGTTCCCACCTCGATCCACAAGAACAGCCTGGGCAAGGTTGCTATTAGGGGCTGTGTGCTCTACTGCACTTCTTGCAATTTTCTTGCAGGTGGAAGAACAGAAGAAAAAGAAGTTGCAGGAAGAAAAGGCTTTCCTCCGAGCGTGGCAACTGAGCAACACACGTCTTCTGTGCATTGACGTTCCGGAGTCATCAGGTGAAGGTGATGGCCAAGTACGATGAAGCCGATCACTTCAGCCTGCACCTGAAACACATAGATTGAATCAGTTGCGCCGTAAGCCACTGAAATGAGACCTGGAAACGGCACATCGCCGTGACCACGAAGCTGCCTTTGACGAGCTGAAGAAGCAGGTTCTGCCAGTTCTGCGGTTGCCTGGGACTTGCTTAAAACATTGGCAACAGCTCGGAACGATCGCGGTGAAGCAGAAACACTTGCATGGGCAGGTGGAATCTGAGCGAATGGCAGAGTGCACCTTCGTTCCGAAGACCGCCAAGAGACTCGTCAGCCTAGGGCTGTGCAAATGTGTCGAAACGCAATGAGCTGCTAGAAGGTGGGAAGCTGTCTGCATTCGGTGGTCAAGTCTACTTTCTAAGGTTAAAAGTGTGGGCCCCAAATATGAGCTCATACTACAGACCTTTTAGGGGGAATCAAGGGACCCTTACGGGTACATGTAGGCCATATAGTAGGTTTTTTTTGGTCCCGGGTTTAGGACATATACTAGGGATGGTATCAACTTTTTACAATTGGTGAACCTCTGGTTGGTATGCGACCACCTACAAGAAGTAGGATCCAGATCAGTGGCGCTCAGTGCCATGGACACAACTTGCATCTTCTTAAGTAGTCCACATCCGAACGCTGCCGAAGTAGATCCTGACAGTGTGAGGTCACTGTCTCGATTTCAAGTTGACTTTGGGTGTTTCTCGAAAAGACAATTCGCAATAGCACGAGCTTGCAAATCTCAGGAAAGTCGTTGCTACGTCAGAAGATGCCACGGTCAGGCCTGTCTCGGCTTAGTCCCCTTCAAGAGTTTGTTCCGCAGATGCTTGCAAACGCTTGCAGCTAGGCATAATGCAGCCTCTGTGCTTCGAGAAGATGCCTTAGTTAAGCAGAAGCAGGCCAAGGACACGATTCCCGGACAGCTGTTTCACACAATCCATCACAGAGTCGCAAAGTAACTCAGATGGTTGCGCATGATGCTCGCGCATGCTCCCTTCAGGAGTACCAGGCTCTCAAGCGCTATGAGGAGGACTTGCATGATTCTTCGCAGTTCTACACGTGGCAAGAGAAAATGAAGGAGAAGGCAGGGTGGCCAATATGCCTCAGCTTCAGGTCAGAAGGTCAAGGCTGCACAAGCCCAGGATCACACTGAGGAAGAGATGCGCGTGCGGCAACGCATCTTGGAGTCAGCCGCCGAGCGGTGACGGATGCTTCCTAGTTCCTAATTTGTAGACATGTAGCCGGGAGCCCTGAGGATGCAGCTATCGCGCGAAGTCGCCATGGATGCCTACGAGTCTGCAGTGCGAAAGAAGCATATCCTAGCAGAGCACCAGCGCGAGGACGGGTTGCAGAGGGGCGGCTCGATGCAAAGCACCGGATGTCCTTGCACACTCCCAGGAGCTGCAGCTCGAGTTGGACATGCAGGAATTTGCTGACATTTGCTGACCTGCGTCCTGTGCATGTTGCCACCGTGTACCCTGCCCAGGACAAAATGCGAGAGTATGAGATGGGGGAGAAAAAGCAGTTGGTTGAGGAAACGAAGGAGGACAGACAGACTGACCAGCACTGTGCTGCAAACAACTGTAGGTCTCGCAGGCAGGCTGAGTAACTGTGCGCCTGGCTTCAGTGGCTTCAGCATTCTGGCAAAGCATTGTGAAGATTCAGCATGTGTGGAAAGCCTGTATCTGTATGCAATCAGCATTTTGGCTGGAAGGGTATGAGGCAAGCCAAAGAGCTGAGCCTAACGGCCTAATGCGGCTGTCGCGCAGGTCAAGCAAGGAAAGGCCCAGCGTGCCGGCTCTGCCGCCATGCGGCACGCAGAGTACACAGAGCCGAAGGGCCAGGAGCCAGTCTCCAGCCCCAGGCATGTCTCAGCAGTCCCAGCCTCTGCCCGGAACGGGATCTTTGGAGCTGGGGCGCTTTCGGAGACCCTCAAAGGCCGCTGCCTGAGTGCATCCCTAGATTTAGGCGTTCGCTGAAGATGCCGTGCAGTGTTGCAATCGTTGTCCGAGGCTGGGAGCTCCAGACCGATTTCGCCGATGCCTCCACTGCCAAAGACTGGCAAAGCTACATCCGCTTTGGACAGATGGAGGGCCATGCCGCGTGATGAACCTGGATCCTGGGTCCCACCGCCTCAGGAAGCTCAGCTAGAGGCAATAGGTCTGCAGCACGACGAGGCTGCATTGCACATGATGTCTGAAGGCAAATCGGTTCCTATCCAGCTTCACGAGTTGTATCCGGAGAAGCAGAGTAGCCCGGTGGAGATGAACAAGCTGCAAAGAATCTTGCAGCCGCTCAGTCCGCTCTTCTTGCCGCCTTTGCCTGCGATCCCTGACACCTGGATGTTTGACTCGAAGGAGAAGCCACAAACATTCAAAGACTACGTCCTGGAACAACCACCGCTGCCATCCAGGATGCATCACACCATATATTTGCTCCCCTTGTCCGAGTTGGGAGGCAGCTCATCGCAGGTGGGATCTTTACCTGACCTGCGAATCTTCTCGAACTTCGTTGAAGCCTGGTTTGGGTTGCCCTGTAAAGTCATGCATTATGATGCCATGCTCAGTGGCAAGGGTATTGCTGTGCGCAGCAACGGCCATGGCAACGATTTGCAGTATCACGCGAAGGACAGTCTAAGACAGCTCCGAATCCGCCTTCCTGCAGATGGCTTCTGCATCCTCGGAATCACCATGGAAGATTTATTTGATAGCACGCAGACCTTTGTCTTGAGCAGTGTCTCGGTCCGCGATCGCGCGGGCATCTTCTCATTCTGTCGAATGGATCCGGCTTGGTATCGAGTGAGCTGCCGTATGGACTTCGACGCAGTGAGCTGAGATCAGGGTTGTCCAGAATCAGCTTTCGATAGGAGTTCTGAGACCTGATGCATTGTGTCGTTAGTAACTCCCTCAACATCTGTCAATGCCACGCGGGGCCCGGGGGGTCAGCCTGGCAGTCCAAGGGCGGGAACGGGGGAACTGGCCTTGATGCCCTGCCAAATTCCTGCCCGATCCAAATCATGTCAGCAAATTGATGCATGCCCGAAACAAGGGGGAAACATTTAGTTCATTCGCACGTTTGGCATCCGCAATTGTTTCCAGACACAGACGCGGGCCCGAGACTGAGGCAAAAGATAAGCCATAAAGCATGGGTGCATGACTGGTGTGACAAAGCCTTGAATCTTGCAAGGTAATGAAGGTGGTGGAGGAGTATCCAAAAGAGCGCCGGGAGGGAGACCTGGAGGTCTTGCTCAGGCGAGCTCACGGGCTTCTGTCCCATGACATGGGCTACTTCCTCGGCATGAGGCATTGCCAGTTCTACGTGTGTCGCATGCAGGGTAGCAGCGGGCTACACGAGAGCGACAGCAAGCAGGATAAGGTGGATCTCTGCCCAGTTTGCTTGAGGAAGCTTTCATGGAACCTTGCAAGTGGAACTCACGAGGGTGCTCCTGAGGACATTACAGCGTGGTGCGTCCAGCGCTATAGGAAGCTTCTGAGCCATGCAGACAAGTTAGGCCAAGCCTTGCAGGCTCATAAGCTCTGGCTCCGGAGCCGCCTTGCACAGCTTGACTTTGACATTATGCCGGCTGCAGCCGCTGCACCGGCTACGACCGCAGTAGCCGTTGCTGCAAAGGTCCAAGCCGGCACTCCTCGCGAAGACGAGGAGGAAATCGACGAAATTGAAGACCCGATCCAGCTTTCTCCAGACTCGGAGTCCAGACGCGAAGCAGAACTGTTGATGCTGTTCTCGCGCCATGACGAGGATGGAGACGGAAGGATGAAAGTCAAAGAGTTCTGTCAGCTCATCAATGCTGTGGATGAGACCTTCTCAGCAATTTCCGCCATGAAGATGTTCGAGGCATGTGATGTCAATCGCGACGGTTCCGTTGACGTGAAGGAGTTCCTGTCCTGGCTCTTGCGCCCTCAAGAAGATCCGAGCATGGCAGAATCTCGGATTCTGAGAAGACTAGCGGCTGAGACGAGGCTTGCCAAGCAGTACAGTTCTAGAGGCGAGGATGCAGCCGACGATTAGGCAGTGGCTGCACGCCCAAGGCGTGCAAAGAAGTCTGCTTAGGGACTTTGCACCTCCCATGCCTTTTGCGATGAAAAGTGAGCGTCGCTCATTTGCCAGAAACTCCCTCGGCAGGACCGCGAAAGGGCCCGATTGGCCGAGCAGGATGTTCTGAAGGCCGTTGGATCGTCGGAGTGTTCCTTTTCCTTCCCTGAACTTTGCATCAAACAGGACAGGTTGCAGAATGCAGAGAACATGCGCAAGGAGCGTGAGGCAGAAGCATAGGGCACGCTTGGCATGGCGGGGGGTTGGGGCACCTGGCATGTGTATTTGCATATCCTCTCTCTCTCTGATGCACATACAGACACCCAAACGGCCTGCCGCAAGCATCCAACCCCGGCAACTACACTTCCACCAGCAAAGCTGTTGCCGAGGGCAAGTCAGAGATTACCGGCTCTACTTATGTTTGTAGTTCTTACGGCAGGTGGATGCGGAGCGTAAGAAGAAGGAGGACGAACAGGCGCAGCAGATGCAGAATCCGTTCCCAAGCGTTCAGCTTGAAGCCTGCTTCAGCCCACAAAATCTGAAAAGGAGATGGCAAAAAAGAAGGATCTCATTCGGCAGATTCGAGCGCTGGAGAAGGTGCCGGTGGAGAAGTTCAAGAAGCTTGTATGCAAATGCGTGCCCTAAAGCCAGGTTTAGAACAAGCAGGCAACAAGCACGTTGCTGTGGTTCTTTGCTGGTGCGGTCAGCTGAGGATGTTCGATCCTGCAGAGCCGCCCTGTCAGGCTGCGGGGCACAACCGCGCAAATCCCAGCTGTTGAAGTGCGAGTGACCAAGGGCCTCTTGGATGAGATGTCGCTCGCAGAGCTCCGGGAAAGGTTGAGAATCGTACCCTGCTGAGATGCGTGATGCAGTTGAGGGGACATTCTTGATGTTCCTTGCATAAGCTTGCTGTCAGGTGGAAGCTCAACGCGAGAAGGAGCTGGATGCCAAGCGCGAAAGGCCTAGATCATGCTGCCAGCAGCTGCCAGCACTTCTTCTCTTGAGTAAAACACTTGTGCTGCAATGTGCTGCAGGCAGCTGGCAAGGAAGCTTGAGAAGCAAGAGGAGCTCACTGAGAAGGCACCAGCTTTCATGTCGCAGATTCTTTGCAACTAGCCTCGTTTGGGACTGCAGGCCGAAATGCTGGCCAAAGTGCGGGAGCGTGCAAGGGAGGAGCAGCAGCAAAGGCATGAACAAACCCGCAGGCAGAAGATCCTGGAGGAGGAGCAGAAGCAGAGACATCGAGAAAAATGTATCATAGAAGTTGCAGAGAAGCTGCAGCTCAAGAAGAGGCAGAAGAAGGAAGAGGAGCAGCGACTGAAGCTGGAACTAAAGGAAATCGCAACCAAAAGACAATTCCTAGCCGCAAATGCTGAGATGGTGGAGGCTAAGGCGCAGGCCGAGCAGCAGTCAGGCCTTGACCGCGAAGCACAGAAGCGGCAGAAGACCACTCTCATTGAGCAACGCAAGCGACATCAGATCAAGATCTCTGAGGTTCAGCGGCGCAGGGACAATCAGGACAGGGACATCCAGGAGTACAAAACGATGCAGCAGACAGTTACTGCAAGGATGGACCGTGCAAAGGCGGCTGATTTGGCCCTCAAAGAAGAGATCCGCCAGTCGGTGCAATCGGCACGGAATATCCAAAGAGTCGTAGCCAAGCGCAACGTCAGTGAGTTTGGCCACAGTAGCAATGCCTACATGAGTAGGATTCAAAATCGCATGGCCACATCCTGCTAGGGTGCGGATGCGAAAAGTGCTTGTACATAGCCAATTTGCTTACTGGCACCCGGCTCATAGCAGGTGAGTTTTCTCCCAGTCAGAAAATTGATGAGGTTGGCTCGAAATCGAGAGTCCTCATCGGGCTGATCGGGGTTCATGTGGCTGCGGATCAGCTCTGCAAGCACAGCTGTATACAGATCACCTGTAGCCACCTAAGAAAGGGTGCACCTACTTGGGCTTGGCGGGGTCTAGTTGGATTGGAAGCTCTACCAGTTTCACCAGTGCATGCGGAGACAGCCTGTGAGCACATGCCTCAAGGGCTTCTGAAGGGCGTCTCGGATAATGCAAACCTCCTAAAAAGTTGCACCGCTATCTCAGGTGCGGCATTGGAGCGTTTGAGTACTAGCTTGGCTGCACTGCCTTCGTTGGATCCTTTTCGGTCATTAATGATGTGCTTGGTTTTCAGGTGCTTCAGGTGCTACAGATTTTCTCGGAACAGGCCATGATGCATGCTGATGAGCTTGGCGGCTCTGTCTTACAATTCTTTTTCTCGGATTGGCTTCGCATGTGTCTGTACTAGTTTAGCATGTGTGGTTTACTGTGAGCCAGCGAAGATGATGCAAGGTGCCCGAGAGCTCGGAGTTCTGCTGGATTCACTCCCATGGGTGCGACCTGCACTCCTGCCGTGCATGCGCAAGGTCCTGGATCCGGCGCTGGCTGCATCTATGGAGGACCCCAAACGTGTGGGCCACATTGCTGCTATTACGCTAGGTACCGTTGGAAGCTGCGAACTACTGCTCAGCGCGGGCATCATGGCCAAATCTCAGACTTTGCAAGAACTGGAAGGAGGAGGTGTTGGGAACGTTCTTTGCGTCATTGAGTATGAGGTTGTAGCTGGGAGCGGCAACTTTGTCGGGCAGGTTCGTCGGAGAAACAAGTGCGGAGGAATCACGGGGTCTTTGTTACCAATTGTCCAAGAGGGCAACGTGGACCGCTCCGCTTGTGCCGAGTTCCGGGCTTTGGGAGCTTTGACGAGGCTGCTCTCCGGTCTGTCCGGGCAAGCCCGTGGCTCTGTGACCCTCTCGGTCACAGAGCCGCCATGCCTCTCCTGCCTCTCAGCCATGCTGCAGTTCCGCATGCAGCATCCGCAGCTCCGAATGGAGGCGGTTATTGACGGCTCACTGATGCGATATGGTCGCAAACTGACCTCACAGATGGCATGTGGACATCGTTTTCCACGAACTTGCTCTGAGTGAAAAGATCTGCCTTACAGCAGATGCAGCTGCTTCCGAGACTCGTGAGCCGGGACCTAGACTGACTGGATGGAAAGGCCCGCACAACTGGTTGCATGTCACTGTTGCCTGCTGCGATAACTGGCTCCAGGTGGTTTGTCAACTCGTCCATATACTGACTCAGCACAGAGAATGATGCCAAATATCTGTGGTCTGTGCTTCATGTATGGTGCGCACATGCACACATCAGTGAGGGTACAGGGGTCGGTGCAACCGTGAAACCCTACCACTTGCCGCTGCATCGCCATGGCCAGAGTTTTCTTTTTGCCGGTCCTTGCTCCACTCATCCCCGTCAAGGCGCCGCATTTGCGCAGCATACATGCTTTCTTTCTCTGCTCGCAGACGAGCATGTTGGCAGGGTCTGTGGGTGCTGCTGTTGCCTTTGGTTGATGCCGTCAGAGCTGCACGCGAGGCTAAGAGCTTGGAGCTCTTGTGTGAGACTGTGAAAGCTCATCTTTATGTTTTGGAGCCTTGTGCATCTGCGCAGGGTCGTCCGGACCTTGGTCTCCTCGAGCTGGAGCACAGAACAGACGAACGGACAGCTGAACGGACAGCCCAACAAGTGCTTCAGCAGCAGTCGCAGTTGTCAAGTTTAGGGTGGCTTGGATGCATTCAGATGCTTGGGTAAGATGAATGCACCTCAGTGAAAGCAATGTGCTTTAGAGAGGCATGTGGCAAATTCTGCAGCTGCCGGAGAACTTCTAGTCCTCCGCATGCTCACAGGGCAGCCGAAACAGGACAGGCAGTGCGCGTCGCTTGGTCAAGCTCTTCTCCTCAGGGTTTGAAGTTCCGGACCTTAGACCTACCCGCATTTTAGGATTCAGGCTTTACTCGGTCATTTGCTACAAACTTCTGGATTGATTCGCCGAAAATTGGGTCGCAACAGCTCGGTTGCGGCTGAGAGGGCTCCTGTCCGTTCGATGTTTATTTTGTTTTGTGTTTGTGGGTTCGTACTATGTAACATCACCCAAGGAGGATCTACATGGGGCCTCTGGGTAGGGCCATAAAACCATAGAGTTTGCAATTTGTTCAGTGTTGCGGAATGTTGCGGATTTCGTGACAACTCTTGCTTTCGACTGGCTCAAAAGCATCACATCCTCATCTTCACTACTTATACACAAAACCCTGCTTACGCATGATCTGCATTCAATCCCAGTGGAATTCTCATACATGCTGCTTGTATGTATGTATCTAAGACAACTGGGTGCGCGCTACCCAGCGGGGAAGCTTTTTGGGTGAACCTTCGACTTGGAGGTTCATGGTAGTTATAACCGGGGGAATGATCTGGCTCGTCACACTTCCGGCTAGGACTTATGGACACATGGCTTGGCGGGGTCGCGGCCTAAGTGTGTGTGTGTGTGCGCGCTCACAAACCGCAGAAACAAAGTTGAAAGCGGAATGCTCAGGTACAACGTCAGCCGGACTTTGGACGCTTACCACATAGATTCCGCGAAAAAGCTCAAGCAGGTCTGCAGTTTTTACAAGAGCGCCTGAGCCAGTCTTTAAGCAACAGGCAATGGCCGCAGCCGCTGACACACGATGCATGGGCCGCTTGCTGCTGGACGCAGAACACAGGCCTGCAAGTCAAGAGCCTCCCCCCAGTGATGCAAGATTGTCCGCCGTGCTAGTTTCGCAGCAGGTGCCACAAAGCCTTTCCTGTCTATGACCTCATGCTGACGACGTTGCTTGTGATGCAGCTTGGCAGTGATCAGAGTGCAGTGCTGTCACGAACCATGTCGATTTTTGCGTTTGCGTGCGCCCAAAGTGGACACATAACTCATCAGATGATTGAGGCTGTTGACAAGCTTGGCGTGTTGCGGCTGCTGTTGGGGGCCATTCTGCCATGGCCCTGTCAAGACTTACGAGTTTCGTGTGGCGAAGTCAGGCGAGGATGTGCTGAAGAAAGATTGGAAGTAGGGCGAAGGCATAAGATCCTGGTAGGGCTACCTTTCGAATGGACTGTAACTCGGAGTCACCTGCGAAGCATTGACAAAAATGGAGCCGGTTAACCATGGAGCTGATCCTTCTGGGCCTAGGCTCATTCCTAGCTCTCCTACCCTTGTGCATCTCTGACAGTGTCCGATCTGCGCCGCACATGCTGGCTCAGCACATGCTTGGGCAGATGCAGGGCATGGTAGTCAGAAATATTCCCAGAATGAGGCAGGGTTTGGGAATGCAAAACAACGGAAGGTAATGCCGATTAGCGGACGGCTGTGCTCTGCCAGAGCAGGTTCAGCTTGACCACGCTGGCCTGTACCGCCCTGGTGGCGGTCAGCAGTGCTCAGGCAGGTTGCATTACAGTTGGTAACAGCACCCTGCCGCTGCTGCAATGGGCTCTTTCCAAGCAGTTTTGCAGGAGAAGCTGGTCGGCGAGTTTGGTCAGGAGGTTTTGGGTTGCCGCTGCGCAGGAGGCACTTGTCCGACGCTTCTACCAACCGGTCTGCTTCATACCTTCAGGCAAGACCACCCATGGCCATTGTGGGTACCACTTTCATTTCATGTCAAACGAGGACTTCTACTCCATACTGCCTTCCCAGCACGTTGTTCAGCCTTTCAGGAAAAACCATGGTGCCGCACAAAGTATGGCCGGGCTCCCCATGTTTTGCATGTCCACCATGGCGCACTGACAGTGTTGGGAGGGGTTCTTCCGATTCGAGGATGTGGCCACTACTCCATCAAGGGACCCTGGGTTTACTGTGACCCGCGTGGCGTGGAGAGGAGGCGTGCCGATGCCCACCACTCAGTTTCTGTGAAGGACCAGCCACAGTTTTGGATGAGCCCCACAAAACCAGGATGGCAAGCTCTACAACGCCCTGGACTTCAAGAAGTTCTACCCCAAGGATTTGCGGAGTCATCACAAGGTTTCTTGCAGCAGTTCTTGCCTTTGGACAGGATGGAAAGGAAAAATGGGCCAGTGCACGCCACTGAGTTTGAATCCGACTTTCAGCCTTTTTGGGAGTGTCTGAGCCGAGGCGGCGAATTACCAGGAAACTCGGGTAGCCAGGAATGGCAAGGCGGTGATCGAAGTCAAGGGAACTTGAACCTTGGACAACAGCATTGATTCGCAGGCCTATAAGGCCAATGAGTTCCGGGATTACTACATTGACTACTTGGGCGAGGATCGGTAAATCAGATAGTGCATGTCAGCCTTACTCGCATGATTTTCTGAGACGCGTGGCTTACAAGAGCGCTGCGTTTGTAGGAGGGATGGCTGAGTGAGTGGACAAACGCAAAAGAGGACTTGACTTGCCCTTGGATGTGCAGCCGCTTTTCGCTGCGTTATTACCTTGGCTTGGCAAGGAGACTCGAAAAGCAAATGATGGTAAGTTCTACACCTTCGACGAGTTTGTGCATGACCTAACTGGAGCTGCATACATGAGCGCCTTCCAGTCCAAAGTTAAAGATCTTATCAGTGTATCATCCTTTCCAGCTTCAGTGAAGGTGCAGCACTACGGCAAGGACACATCATGGAAGATGCAGCTAGCTTACAGAACTAGATGTGCTAGTCTAGATCATGTGAGGGTCTGTCGCGCTGGTGATGTGATAAATTTCAGGTGGGATGGTGCTGGCAAGCTTCGGCCAGAACTCTGAAGGAACGCGTTGTCCATACCTCCTGAATTCCGGTCCTGAAACTGGGACTGCCGAAATGCGTAGAACAGATCGTTTCTGGCTTCACTTAAAGCTGCGGGCGCAACTGCGCACGTTGCCTGCCCTCAAATGTTTAAGTGGTTTCGATTGCACAGCTTCGGGCAATGGTCAGCGCGTGCATGAACAGATGTGTGCGCCCCGAGAAACAATGGACCTAAACCTCTTTCCAGTTGGCATCGTGCATCGCGAAGCTACAAATTGGCTTTCATCATGACTCAGAGTGGAAAGACATGATGCAAGCAAGGCACTGTGCTTCACGCGTCTTGATTGACAAAGTGATGTTGTCACGTAGAGGTGTTGAAAAAACAGGACATTCCGACAGAGTCTTGATCTCGGGAGCCAGGGAATGAAATCCACGCAAGCAACACACATCCTTCGACACATTTGGAGCCATGGATTTGGAAGCGTACTCTTGGGCCTGTGGCAGCAGCATACGCTGCATAGCAGAGAGCCAGGACAACAATGATCCTGCTCAAGAAAATGATGCAGAGAAAAAGCGCTCAGAGGAAAAAGCTGTCCTGGGAGCACAGGGGCTGGTAAGTGTGTGGGCTGCAGCTGTACGGGTTGCGGCTGAACTGGGTGATGTGGAAGACATTGAAGAAGAGCTGGGGCCACACGCTGCAGCGATTCTCAGTGCCTCGAAGTTCGCCTGGAACGATGATGACGAAGCTGAGATCTCTGAGGAAGAAGATTCGTGTCGCATGGAGGCGGCTCCCGACGAAAGGGTACTCACGGAAGCCCCACCGCAGCCTCAGCCTGGCCTCATGCAACTTCAGGCGCTCCCGCCTGACAAAAACGAGAAAGTTGAGGAAGCCGTCGAGGGTTTAGATGGCTTCCTGGGCTTGTTGTCTGCATGGTCAGACGACGCTCCAGCCTCGAGACTCTTGGAAGAGGCCAGACACTCCAAAACGCAAGGACTTGTACATCACAAGGCATCTCTTGGCAGGGCCCCTGAGCCGCGTGGTGGGAAGCCACTCAGTAAAGACAGCCTTGCAAAGCTCCGCGAACGCTTCCCTCAGAGTAGGGCACCGAGCCCACCAGCTGAGACGCGGCATTGGCGGCGACTGGACTTTGAGCTGTATTTCGGCCCTGCCCTGAGTCGCTTGAACATTTCTTGACTCGGGTGTGCGGAAGCGAATTCATGGGAGGCACCCTGCGCAACAGCTGAGGCAGCGACGGAGTCTTGCAGCCCCGTTCAGAGCCAGCACCGAGCACAGAGGAGCTCCTGGCACAGGAGATGCGGCAAACGAGCAAGGCCAGTCCTCTGCTCGCCGCCGCATAGCAAAATGAGGTCAAGCTTTATTTCTACCGCTTACTCTCCAGAAGTCCTCCCTTTTTCGGGTAGATGAGCCAAGCTCGTAGTGCAGGAGCTTCGGAGGGCAGATAAGCAAGACAAAGCGAGCAAGTTATGTTCCTGTCTCTGAATTCTGAAATTCAGTCCAAAGGACAAGGTGTCATATCGGTGGCGGTGCTTGCTCAGGACATGGTCTCGCGTACTTCAGGGCCGGGCTGTAGTATGCTGTAGCGTGGTGACATTTTTCATAGAGCATGTAAGGCTGTCTCTAGTGGGTTGCTCGGAAACCTAAGATTTTGCGTTGTTGCAATCCTGCAGCCCGGAAGCCGAGGAAATGCGCATGCGGCTTGCACAAGAAAAAGTTGCACAGCCTCCACCGGAATATGCTGCTTTTTGCCAACATCTTCTGGAGAGCTATGGGAATATTCGCACCCCGGCCACAACTTGGCAATCCCGAGTTCAGACCTTTCCTGCCATGACCAAGGAACGTTTCAAGCTTCGGAGGACTAGCCCTTAGACTCTTCGGATGGCCACGATTCGATAAGTGCGATGTGCTGAGGTGCTGCCTGTCCCTCGCTCACGTCGTGCTCCTGACATCCTTAAGTCTCCCGTATGCCGGGTCCCTATACTTGCAGCGCAGCGGCCGCAGCCATCATTGCATCGGATGGGTGAAGGCATTGAGAAGCAGCGGGGATGGAAGATGAGGACCGCAGTGCCTGGGAAGACAGGGCTCAGCTGCTCGTTGGGATACAGGAGCTGGGGCATTGCCTACTGGAGCTACGAATGTGGCCAGGCACTGTCAATGACGCATGCAATCAGCGCATACCAGTGCCCTGGGTTTCTGCAGGCAGCTTGTGACTGTTTCCGACGCTATCCTCCAAGATGGCGCCCCAGAAGGTCCTTGGCAAAAATGCTAAAAGATGCAAACTCCTCAATACTGAGGCTCAGAGTCAGGGTCAAGCAGCACCCGGGTTCGGGTGCCCTCAGAATGTTTGAGACTTGGCTCTGTCTAGCTTGCCCTCGCTGAATGCAGAGGCCAGGGTGGACGAGTTCAGCAAATACATGACCATCCTTCGGGATATGGATCCACAGTGCAAAGAGGCTGGAGACAAAATCAGGCAGCAGCTGGTGCTTCTTGTGATGTCTGCAGGAAAACTATATGGCGTACCCGCGCTACCTTGCATGCTGGTCAGCTTGGTATCCAGTTGAAAACATTCTGGTATCCATGGGGTATGCTGTGTGCTGAAAACAGGTCTCCCTTTGGTATACCAAAGTTGAAGTCCCTTTGGGAGCAGGCCTTCTCAGATACAAAATTCTACAAAGGGAGCTTGCATAGCTTTCGCTTCGAGGACTTGAAGTCTGGCCGAAAACTTTGGGGCCCACCGGGGCTGAAAGCCTGCAGCTTGGTCATGGCAGCACGGGCCTGGCTTTGCCTGCCCCGGCTTTGAGGACCTGTCGGCCAAGTGGTTCGACATGTGCTGCCTCGCTGTGCTGCTCTCATGAGAAACATGCAGCAAAACGCATGCGCTTTCGAGTGCCCTGGGCAAAGGTCGGGCTCAACTTTGAGCCGGAGCTTGCTCAGCAGGACCTTCATCTGTAAGCGTTGCTGCTTGAAACTGGCGTTGAGATGGCTCTGACAGGATACGATGCAGTTTGGGCCGCACCCGCTTCAGCTGCAACACACGGGAGGGGCCCACCTCTGTATTGTAGTAAGTAAAAGGATTTGCCAGATATCTGAGGCCGGGCACGCTTACGGGCCTTTACGTCGAAGATTGCGCAGCGGCGATCTAAGCCCGCTTCGGGCAGCCTTTGCAGACCAACTGTTGATTCACATGTGCTTTGCAGGCCCACGTCTGGCATGCTCAGATTCAAGGACGACGGATGTTCGCTTTGTTCGCGCCGCAGGACCTGCACCACCATTGAACAGCTCATTCTGCTATACGAAATTACTTGTAGCTATTGAGAAGCCGCGCCTCTTTCGTCCCCAAGCGAAAGTGTGAGGATGGACAGTGGATTGTAAAGGCAAATCATTCCTTGCAGGAGTCCGCCAACTTGCTGGAAAAGCAGAATGCCCCAACGGTAGATGTTCGTTTCCCAGCAAGACTCGCCTGCGCAATCCAGGCAGCGCATAAAAGGTGGCAGTCACTCCAGGCGGATACCCACACACGGAACCGCACTAGCCGTGCCCTCATCATTTTTGATATTCTGAGTTGCCTCCAGTGCAAATGCCGTGAGCAAATCTTGCAGGCTCTGTCGAGCTTTTCGCATCTGGGCAGAGGTGCCCCAGCAAACCATGAGTGCAAATGACCTTGAATTGAACGCTCCAGCAACTGCAGACTCAAAGACAGTCAAGCCCATGTGGTTCTTCTGGAGCTAGGCGCTTACGTCCCGATGCCTCCAAATTCCCCGATCTTTGTCTTTGCATCTCAGTCCAACTGAGGCCAGGTGAGACACTGATCATTCCAGCTGGTTGGTGGCAATGCAGCGTTGCTCTTGAGTCTTGCGCTGAAAACGGTTCCAAAGCTTCTAAAACATGCAAGCACTTGACGGAGTACTCAGGCCATTTACGACAATCACAAGGCGATTCTGGAACAGGCAGGATGAGCTATCTTGGACATCTTGGACTACGGCGCTGGCAGACAAAGCTTCGTCAGGGCCAATCGTCTTGGCGTCTGCGACGTTATTTCCAGACGATCTGATGCTTCGGACACGAGTGCCTTGAACATGAGGTTCTAGAATGATCACCTTCCACTCTCCCGCATGTGAACACATGAGATGCAGGACATTGGTCCAAGACAAAAGGCCCATCTACTATCGCAGCTGCCCCTTCTTCGCGAGCAGATGCAACAGGCAGGGAAAATCAGAAACCCATGCCCACGTCCTGCCATTTGACCCAACGCTCAAGCGACAGGAAGACATATCTTCTGGCGAAGATTGACGATGAGAAGAAAAGAATCGGTTTGGGAATTATATGAATATAAGCTTATCGTTCGTGAAATCCATTGAATACTTGAATCGATGAAAGATGAATATGATAATCATAAAATGATATTCATAGAGAATATTTGAATATTGTATTTAATAGATTTCGAAAATACGCTTTAATCATTATAATCTACAAGATTGGTAAATTCGTATTTCCAAGATTGCAGGGCTTTTATTTGCCTTAATATATAAATAAATCTTCTATTTCATGAATCGACATCTATACTAGATTGGGAAAACTAATATATAAAATGAAATATATATAGTTTTTGATTAACATATTTTTTTGGTTAAAATGAAATTTCATTAATATATTATAATGAATATATTTTTTTGTAAATATTCATATATTGATAGATTTTTTCTTCAATTAGAAAGGATTAATATTTTATCGTCGGAAGTTGATAGGACGGAAAATTTTGTTAGGATATTATCGCTTGCTAAGATACGGAGTTAATTTTTAGGAAGAAAGGATAATATGAAATAATTATTTCGAATGAAATGAGGATGGATGAAATAAATAGAAGAATATGATTTAGATTGAAATTTGAATAAATAATGAATTATTATCGTGAGAAATATTATATAGGAAAAAATATTTAGGTTAGAATAGATAGATTATCGATAAGATTGGAAAATATTTATTTGATAAAAAATATAATTTCGATAAATTCGATGATTAAATAATATATTAGATTTTATATGAAATCCAATGTATTATAAACATTTTAATCGTATATAATATATAGATTTTGAAAGATTTGATATTTCCATCTCATTTAAATTGATCTTTCTATTTCGGGAGCACGCCAAATTCTTTGGATATTCGCGCTGATGATTCAAGAGAGATAAATCATACGGAATATATAAAAATCTCGACGAATAATTATCATATACGATCGCATACGATAAAATATATTCTGAAAGCTTTTAGATTTCTGCGCCGGATTTACGCGTTCTACTGAATCGCTACGAGGATAATCGAAGAGGAATGATTTAAATTCTCGGGAGATTTCGGAACGCGCGGCTTCTGCGTGAATTCAAGATATTCCGTCTCATTAATTTCTCTTGGATTATCTATAGAATGGCTCGGGAGAATAAATTTGAGTGAATAGATACGGCTAATTTATAGATTCTAAAAAAAAATGATTCTCTGGCCCATATCTATGCGTCTCGTCAACCAATCACGTAGATAGCCAAAGAGAGATAAATCATGCGGAAAATCGCTCCAGAGGCAAGGACGGCGCGACCAAAAAAAATCGATATTTTTGGACGCATCGCCCGACCCCAAAATCTCAGAGATTCTAGAACCTTTAATTTTCCGAAGATTCTAAAATCTCCGAGATTTTCGAATCTCTAGGGAGCCCGAAGAAGATATTCTAAAGGCGATCCGGAAAAAATTAGATCGCTTATTTCATTATCTGAAAAATCTTATATATATATTATTTCTCTGATAAATCTATATGAGATATCTCTTTCGATTTGAATTTTGGAGATTTGATATCCTGATTGAATTTGAAGATGATAATATGGAGAGATCGAATCGTCCTTTATCTATCTTCATTTTAAGATAAATCAATATTTTGATATCTCCAATCGCGCAGATCCTCCCAGATTTGAATTATTGATGATCTCAATGATAGGATTTTGAGAAATTTACGACCTCCTTTATGAGGTCCCTTCTATATCTCTAATAGAGATATATAAAGGATCTCTATTTAGGAAGATCGAAATTATCTAATTTGGATATATATATTTTTTTCATATATATATAGATTAGAAATTCGATCGAATCTTCAAGATATTCTATATGAGATCACGAATTTATTCAATATTTTCAAATGAAATTCTATTGATATTCTGCATAAGAGATTTATTCTAGATATTAATTTTCTCAAAATTTCTAGATATTCTGCGCAGAAATTCAATTTTGGATTAGATATGATGAATTTTTGAAGATGATCCAGATGAAATTTGATTTTATTCAAAATTTTCAGAATATTCCGCATGAGAATATATTTATTCAGAATTATCAAAATATTCCGCAAGAGCGCGATTCTTTTTAGAAAATAATTTTCTATGAGAACCCAATTTTCTCCGGAATATTCAAGATATTCCATATGGGATCGTCCCTTTCAACGACGAAATCGATAAAATTAATATGAAAATTATATTGAGAGATATTCTCCCCGAGATCGCGATCTTGAACGAAGAAGACGATTTTGAACGGAATTCCCCAATAACGAATCAATATAATTGCGTCGATTTAATTATTCAATTTCTGAATGATGAAATCGATAAAGATTATATCGATTGATTTCCGGGGAATTCTATTCAAGATCATCATTTTCAACGAAGAAGAAGAAGATCTCGAATGGAATATGTCGATATTCAATCAATATAATTATATACGATTTATCAATATGATCGTTCATGAATTATCAATATTTTCCGAATATTCCGCACGAGAACGTCATTCTGAGAGGAGAAATTGACGAGGATAGATCGATAGAATTTTAAAAATCATGAAATTATCCGATTATTTCGAATAGGAATGCAATTTTAAATATATAGAATATAGAATTTTGAAGATATCTCGTATAAGAAGACGATCTTAGATATTCGGAGCGCGCCCAATTCGATTAGAGACCTCTCTAGCGAGAAAATTTTAGAGAAGAAAATCATCTATCTTTGAATGAATATAAAATGATCATCCGACGATTTTTTTTGAAGATGATCCGAATGAGAATACGATTTTCTATTCTCAATTATAAGTTCGATAAATTCAACGATACAAAGATCATCATATCGATATATATTTGAGATATAAATGAATACGAAGATATAAAGATTCATATATTCGAGAGATCATGAGATCAATAGATCGATTTACGAATAGATCAATATATCATCAATTCTAGCGATATATCTACGAGATTGATTATAAATTTGAAAATTTGCTAGAATAATCGTATTTAAAGGAAAAGAGCATAGAATGAAAGATTAATCAATAAATAGATAGATAGATATCAGCGCTCATTATATCAATAGAACGAGATTATAATATATATATTAACAAAGAGATATTCATATAAAGAAAATGATAGATCGATTAATAGATTCATAGAATGAAAGAATATGAGATTAATAGATCGACATCTCTATCAGAATGATAGATTGCAATACGACGAGATAGATAAATTAATACTCAGAGAATTCAATTCTCATCTTCAAAAAAATACGAATTATGCCAATATCCAAATGAAATCTAGAAAAAAAATGATATTCTATAATCATGAATAATCGTATTTTTATCATAGAAAAATAAATAATATCATAGAAAAATAAATAATAAAATTCAAGAGATAAATTAAATTTGATTAGGATTTGTAAATAAATAGAAAATAATAGAATATCTAAATAGAGAGATAAAGAAAATTCAAAATAGATAGAATATCTAATCAAGAAATCCAAAGATATATAGAAATTATTGCAGAAATCGATAGATATAATCGACGATCGAGAGAAAACTTTTAAATAAATAATCAAGAAAATTAATATATACAAATAGAGAGATATCGTTAATGCCAAATAGAAATAAGAATAATGAAATATACGATGATAGATTGAAATAGAATATTATATTTTTGAGTGCCGGACTAAATCTCTCATATGGTGTAGAAGTCATCAGATTTAGGGGTGGCCCCTATCGATTATCAGTATTTTGAATCTTTATTCTCCAAAAACCTTTTTTTTTTTATTGAGCAGACCTCCCAGTACTCAAATTGATGGGGCCAAATTATCTTCTTGAAATGAGAGTACGGGGGTCAGGGTGAGCAGGTTGAGAGACGGAAGTTAGGAGAATTATATGCTATAGCAGCCTTTTCTATAGCGGTCTTCTTGCCATATCCCATACATGGCGTCTCGAAAAATATTTACTATCGCAATATGACTATCTAATTTCGCAATATTTATCTTGGAGTTACGAAAACCTTGCCAATGCCCATCTGGGCATCTGACTTCTTAGATTATGAAATCATCTATTTGGGGTATCGGTCGGGTATCGGTAGGAATATCGGCGAAGCACTGCTATAATTCAGAAAATTCTGGGTTCATCATAGCTGAAAAATTTCAGGAAAAGATCTTTCAGCGCGATACTGCATGAATAGACCTATTTTCCCTTCATATTTTAAGATATCCTGCAGCTCATGTTATAATTAATATCGGATTCTTATTTTGATTAGGATTATCATTATTATATTTGCTATCCATCTAAAATCTAAAAAGATAATC